GGGAGCAGGAGTGACTCCATATGCCTGGGGACAAAGTTATGGGAAGGCTCACAGACTTCCTATCCATACCCAGTCTGATGCCATGGCATTGAGCAGAAAATATCACCAGCAGAACATTAGAGAAGTGCTTGTAGAGAAGTAGATGTCATTGAGTGTTGATGAGGTGTGGGCAACTGTCATACACTGTGGATGGGAGTGTAAATTGGTACAACCACTCTGTGGGCAGTTTGCAAAGATCTGTTAAAACTAAAACCAAGGCTGTACACTCTGACCCAGAAATCTGTCTTCTCTTCCCTAGAGAGATGCTTGTGTGTATGCCCAGGGAGGCAGTGCAACAGTATTACCCAGTGTTGCATTTTGATTATAGGCAGAGACTAGAAATGGCCTATATATGCAACAATAGGAGTGTGGTTCAGTAAACTGTAGCATGTCCATAAACATGAAATATTACATAGCACTAAAAGGAATGAAGTATATCTATATATTATTATGTTGGTAGATCTTCAAGACATATTGTTGAGTGAGAAAAGAAAATTGTGGAATCATATTTATAGTCTGATACTAGTAATATATTTTTAAAAATAAAAGTATGTGTGTTAGGGTCTAAGCTATGCTGCTATAACAAAGAGATCCCCAAATTTAGGGGGGAAAAAGGCTTAAATGAGGTAGCTTCTTTCTCATATAACAATCCAAAGGGAGTGTGGTCTGGGATAAGTGGTGTTCAGTTATGTGCTGCTATATAAAACAGCAATAATTACATTTTGCTCCTGGATTCTGTGGGTCAGGAGTTTAGACAGGACCATGGTGGGAGTGGCTTGACTGTGCTCTATGATGTCAGAGGCTGTAGCTGAGAAGACTTGAATGGCTGGGAGTAACTTACATGGCCATGGCTGGAATCATCTGGAGGTTTCTTTACCCATGCATCTAAATGCCTGGGCTGGAATGACAAGAACTTTTGTCTTAGTTGGGACTATTGCTCAGAGTGCCTACACATGACTTCTCTATGTGGTTAGCATTTCCATACAGCATGGTGGCCTCGGGATAGTTGAACTTTTTGCTCTAAAAGCAGATGTTCCAGCAAATAAGGCAGAATCCACATGGCCTTCCATACTTCCATACCATTTCTCAGAAACTGTAATGTTGCCAATATTTTATTGGTCAAACTAGCCACAGCCTGTTTGTATTTAAGAGGAGGGAACAGAGATCCCACCTCTTTATGTGAAGAGTGCTAAAGGGTGGGTAATCATGTTTTAAAACCATCACAGGTGAGGAGCTCTGTCACATAAGGTCACCTGAGGTTGGTTTGGCTGGGGAAGGGACGTTGGGCTTTGCCATTGACATGTAGCTTCCATCTCTGGTTTCAAGGTAACTGTACCTGTTGTCACCATATCCCAGCCAGGGAAAGGGACAGTGGAGGGCAAGCATCTCCTTATACAAAAGTGGTTCAGAACTTACACACATCACTCCTACCTGCATCCCTTTGGCTAACTCTTAGTTCTGCTGATCCACGTAGCTGCAAGGGAGGCTGGGAGATGTCTGTTACTGAGCATCCATGTGCCCAGCTACAACTCATTGGGGACCTGTTACTAAAGGATGTAAAGGAGAAAAAGTATTAGGAACAATTAGTTTTTGCAACAGCATGTATTTTTCATAAATATGTATATATTTGTGTGCATATGTATAGAAATAGGCCTATGTAGAATACAGAAATACATAGGTAAATAGATTGCAGACTGAAAGAATACATAGAAAAAGATGAAGAAAGGGGGCAGCAGCGGGAGAAAAAAAAAGATGAAGAAGAAACTGGTAGCAGTAGTTACCTCTAGAGAAGGGAGGGGAAGACAACATGGGGATATTCATAGCTGGCTGTAGCTATAGCTGTAGTGTTTTAATTTTTAACGAGGATAATGTCTTCATGTTTTACTTTGAAATTAAATATTAATTTAAACCCAGGAGGTCCTGGTGAGCATCTGGCTACTGATGTTGCAGCCTGGGTCTTATCTTTCTTTGGTGGGACCCAGCATCAAAGAGAGGCAGGAGGGAGCATGGCCCTGTGTCTTCCAGGAGCCCCAGCCGGTGTTGCAGGGGACTTTTTGTCCAGAGGCCCCACATTCTCAAAGGCTGTGTACTCTATTTGGGGTCTCTCTGCCCCCATCCTTCCTGTCCAGTTCTGGAGGGTTTCCTTTGTTACTAGCAAACTAGTTCAACAAAGATAGAGGGCTGTTTGGGCACTGAGGAATAAAGTGCTTAAGTGAATAAATCACAGACTCCTTCTCTACAGATTACTTGTTAATTACAGGCAGGAAGCTGGTTACTGTAAGTGGAGAAAGCAGTGGACAGAGACTTTCCCAGGCAATCAATGTTAACATCACAGACACTGTGGTCCTCCTGATAGGAGACACCAAGGACACAGTGTCACTCTAATGGCATTTCTGTCCCAAATGCATAACCAAAATCCAATCATCTGACAAACTCAGATGGAGGGACATTCTTCAGAACAACTGGACTGAACCCTGTAAAAATGTCCATGTCATGAAAGACAAAGGAAGGTTGAGGAACTGTTGTAGACTGAAGGAGCCTAAAGAGATAGAATGATTTGATTGTTGTACTGTGAATACATAAGAGAATGCCGTGTGCTTAGGAAATATGCACTGAAGTATTTAAGAGTAAAGAAGCATGTTGTCTACAACCAACTCCCAAATGGTTTAGAAAGGAGTAGGCAAACTATTTTGGCAGAAAGGCTAGGTAATGAGGATTCTAGGCTTTGGCGGGCCATATGGTCTGTGTCACAACAACTCACTTTGCTTCTGTAGCGCCAAAGTAGCCACGACAGTATGTAAATGAGTGGGTGTGGCTGTGCTCCAATAAAGTTTATTTATGGCTACTGAAATTTCAATTTCATATACTTTTCATGTGTCATGAAATATTATTCTTTTGAGTGTTTTCAGCCAGACAAAAACCATTTCTAGCTTACTGCCCATACAAAATCTTGTGGCTGGATTTGACCTGTGGGTTGTAGTTCACTGATCCTTGATATAGAAGAAGAACATACATAAACACAGACACACACACACACACACATACATACACTAAAGCAAATATGTATGGCATAATACTAATGGTGAATCTAGGTGAAGGGTACTGGGGAGTTCTTACAGTTCTTTAGCAAGTTTGAAATTACTTAAAAATAAAAACTTAGGGGCACTTGGTTGACTCAGTTGTTGAGTGCCTGACTCTTGGTTTCAGCTCAGGCCATGATCTCATAGTTTGTGGATTTGGGCCCCATGTCAGGCTCTGTGCTGTCAGTGTGGAGCCTACTTGGAATTCTCGTTCTCTCTCTCTCTCTCACTTCCCCCTCCTGCTTGCGTGTTCTCTGTCTCTCTCAAAATAAATAAACTTTAAAAAAAAATGATAAAATGTTTAAAATAAAATGAAAAGTTAAATAAAAGGCATGATTTTCCTCTCCAGGGGGCCCAGGAAGGAGAAGGTGAGGATACTGTGTGAATTCAGGGGACCAAGCCATCTCATCTCAGGGCCAAGGGAGACTTGCTCACAGTGTTCTTTGATGCTGTCCCTGTTATCTGTTCACTTCACTGCCTTCACTTTTTCCTTTCCTTATTTTCTGGCTTAACTGTCACGTCTAGAGACCCCACTTGGCAGATGTGAGAGTTTGGGCTCAGGCCTCACCCTTTGACCGTCCCTTTTTCCTCTCCCTCTGCAAAATACATTTCATCACCACTCAAGAAAACAGACATGTTAATTTTTTTTTTAATGTTTATTTTTGAGAGAGGGAGAAAGTGCGCAAGCAGGGGAGGGGCAGAGAGAGGGAGAGAGGATTGGAAGCCTGCTCTGCACTGACAGCAGAGAGCCCGATGTGGAGCTCAAACTCACCAACAGTGAGAGCCTGACCAGAACCTAAGTATAAGGGGGATGCTTAATTGACTGAGCCACCCAGGCACCCCAGAAAACAGACACGTTAAATATGTTCATTAGGTTATTGTTGTTGTTGTTTTTTCAATTTCATGGTCCTGTCCCTAATATTGTTTCCTCCAAGTTGTTGGTGTCTGTCTTAGATTATCAGAACTCTAGAGGAAAGGGGTTGTTTCTCTGCATATGTTGGGGTGTAATGTTGGGGCAGGTGTGCTGTGGCAGCACTTTCAAGAAGTTAGTGTGCATCCTCCCTTCATTGGGTTGAGTCTCTTGTATTTCCCCTGGCCTTATGGCCCTGAATGTTTATTTCCAGATACTGGCTTTACTGGAGTGACTGTGCTTGAGGTAGGGGATACTGGCTTTAAGGGAAGAGGTATGTCCTTTTCTTAGTTGACTTGGCAAAAACTCTTCTTTGCTAGGATCAGAAACCCAATTCGAATTGGCCTAAGTGAAAAGGATATTAATTAATATCATGAAGAGCATTAGGTTTGGTTAGATCTAAGGGCTGTCTAAATGACACATGAGAATGCTGTCTTGTACCACATTGCAATTATTTTCGTGTTTGGCTTCATTTGCTCAGCAGCGCTAGGTGTACTTTCTACCAGATTAGTAAACCCAGAAGAAGGAAGGCATTTCAAAACCAATACTTCCAGCCAGAGTGCCCAGAGTGACTCTCATTGGCCCAGTCAGTGGCTAGGGGATTGGAGGATACTGATTGGCCAGGCCTAGGTCCCATGACCGCACCTGGCATGGAGATTGTTAGCTCTAGTCAAACCATCTGGACCAAGAATTGACAAGAGGTGGCCCCTCAAAGGCATTATTTGGTTGCCGTAACCATTAGGAAGGATGGAACCTGTGTAGGAAAAAAACATCGGTTCCTTCCACAAGTGCTTTGCCCTGCTGCCTTCCCAGATTCCAGCCCTAGTTTTGTAAGCTACATCTGTGATAGTGGTAGTTGTATCCTCTGAGCTGCCAAACTGACTTCTGTAGTCACGTCCCATGACACAAACTATGAAAAATGACCTATTCACGTTCTCCCATACACCTGCTTGGGCTCCTCTGTCCCTCAGGAAACCCACAGGATCTACAAGCAGAAGCTGGAAGAGCTGACCTCACTCCAGACTTTGTGTAGCAGCTCTATCAACAAGCAGAAAACACGACTAAAGGACTTGAAGCACACACTCCAGAGGTAGGCAAGGCTGCAGCTCCCCTGGTTTTAAGGGATAGAAACCCAACTCAAAGCTATCTTGAACAGAGAATGGAACTTTTAATGGGAAAAAAAAAAAAACCCAGGTGTAGTTTCAGATATCACTGGATCCATGGGTAAAAAGATGTTTTTAGGATTTTTCTCCCCTCCGAATTCTGCCTTCCTCTAGATTGACTTTGCTCTCAGGCTGACTGTCCCGTTATGGTCACCGAGATGGCCATCATCAGTGCCAGACTTGTATCTCCCAGCCATACTTCCTATTGGCTTGGTTACCCCAGCAGAATAACTTGTTTTTCTAGCAAGAGTTCTGGGTGTGATCCTCATTGGCTGGAATTGGTCATGTGCCCATTTGTGAACTAATCCCTGAGACTCTGGTTAGGCAAGAGTAGGTCATATGCTTGGTTTATGGACGTGGGGGATGGGACAGCCTTACTTGAACTATATGGAAGGGAAAGAGAATGAGAGATAGAGGAAAGTTGTTATAGGTCCCTGGTGTAGGTGGTAGGAATTCTGGCATCTCTGGGGGGGATTTATTTAAGCTCATGATTTAGTTCAGTTCTTGAGGCCAGGATCATATGTCTACTTCCCGATCCTCACATCCTCATGGTTTGGAAAGTGCTCTCACCCCCCCACAGGCGAAGGAGCCTAGTGAATGCTGTGATCCCCAGGCAGGTGGAAAGACTGAGGCTCTGAGTGGCTTGTCCCAGTTTATTTACCTGGGACTGTATATCATGGTGTGTAATTCCTGGTCAGTTCTTCCCTTCCCTTGTGGACACTTTTTGCAGTCCTTACTGGTTATATCCGTAGCCTTGGCTGACCATTTTGGAAATGGAGGCCCATTGGTCATGGAGTAGAGTGTGGATGGTTCCACATAATGATATCACCACTCTTGGAAAAACCATCTTACTGATGGTAAGACTCAATAGTCTTTATCAGGCTAGGATTTTTCAACCTTGGCACTGTTGAAAATTCTGCTAAGGGGTCTGTCCTGTGCATTCTGGGATGTTTAGCAGTATCCCTGGCCTCTGCCCCTGTTTGACAAACAAAATGTTCCTAGACATTGTCAGGTGTTTCCAGTTAAGAACCGTTCGGTTAGAAAGTTGATCCATGAGGCCGCCTACTATTCTGAGAGTGTGTCCATTGACTTGTTTTTCAAGTTTTACGAGTTAATATCACCAAAGAATAACAGATATTGATCAGTTAGCTGCTTGTACATTTAAAACACTTTCCTGTCTGTCTTCCTCATAATCTTCAGGCTATTCTTCTAGAATAGTAAGAAATATTGTATTGCCTGTAGAGGTCCATTGAGCTCATACTTGAGTATCAAGGATCATTCTAAATGTGTTGCTTTGCTTATGCTCACTTAATCCTCACAACAGTATTGTCCATGAGATATTCCTGATGCTATGCCCATTTTTCAGGTGTGGAAAATAAGGCAGAGAGATTAAGGAACTTTCCCAAAGTCACAGGGGACTTAGTGTCAAACCCACAGGGTACAGGGGGGAATTGAGGTTACAAGAAGCACTGAGATAGAAAGATGGGAGGGCAGTGCCCAGAGCTCCTGGATTTTTCCTTCAGTCTGATTAACACTCCTGCTTCTCCTGTGCCCACACCTCTGACCAAACAGGTACAAGCACCATGCCAGTCGGGAGGAGGTAGAGCTCATTCAGCAGATGAGTGCCAACATCAAGGAGCGGCAGAATATATTCTTCGACATGGAGGCCTACCTGCCCAAGAAGAATGGGTAGGAGCTGGAAACATATCCCACCCCTGCTGTGGGCAGCTGCCCAGGCCTAGAGTACCTGGTCTGTGTGACTCCCACCTCCCTGTTGGGGCTTGAGGTGGAAGGGAAAGAAGGGAAGCAAGAGCAAGAAAGAGAAGGAAGCTTCCTCCTGTGTTCCTCCATGGAACGGGTGGGGATCTCAGAGTGAACTTCCTGGGAGGGCTTATTGCAAGGAACTTATTGTAAGATCTCGTTTCCAGCACCTGCCGCATGCCTGGGGCCACCCACGGTCAAGAGGAAAGATGTTTTCTCCCAAAAAACAAACATTTATTTATTTTTTATTTTCAATTCCAGTATAATTAACAGACAGCATTATAGTAGTTTCAGGTGTACAGTATAGCGATTTAATTCCATACATCACCCAGTGCTCATCACGACAAGTGCACTTTCAATCCCATCATTATGCCCCTCCTCTCTGGTAACCATTAGTTTTTTTCTCTAGTTGAGAGTCTCTTAACATTAGTTAAGAGTCTCTTTTTTGGTTTCTCTCTCTCTTTTTTTTTCCTTTGAGAACAAACATTTATTGAGTGCCTGCTGTATGCCTAGCATTTGCTGGGGGGCTCTTAAATTGTCTACAGCTTGGTGAGCCAGACCCAAATATCTGAATTCTACAAGGTTCAGAGACATAGGGGGTGTTTTATTCAGGGGGCTCAGCCCAGGTTTGGATGTGAATACTCTAACTCCAGAGCTTGTGTTCTTTCCGTCTTCCTCCTTCAGAGAAGTCCCATCTCCTCCCTTAAGTGACATCACTGCCACCTGTTCCAGAGGGAGATCAAACAGCATTGTATCAAAACCTGATGCGGGCGGCTAAGTGTGCTCCCATCATTTCTCTCTGCCCTTTGTCCTGGTTTGGCCTAACACTTAAGTCAGAGCCCCTGCCGAGAGGCTTACTAGCCCTTTCACATTGGAAGCCATTCCTCTTGGCTTCTCCTTTTTTTTTTTTTTTTTTTTTAAAATTTGGTGACAATCTCTCTAAGTTGGATGGTGATAATTTTCCATAGAATGAAACAGCGTGACCCTCTTTTACAGTGTGGCTCAGATCGGCTTTCCCAGCTCTAGCTCCTTAGTCCTCTGTGCATTCTACACCAGTTGGCGATCTTTGGATTACAGATGACTGAAAATCCAACTCATCATGCTTAAGAACAAATAGGGGATTTATTGGCTCATGTAGCTAAAAGATCCAGATGTTGCTGTGGATCTGGCTAGATGCTGCTGCTCACATGATACTGTTGGGCTCTCTCGGTGAGCTTTATTTTTACTCTCTCTGCCAGTGTGTTTTATCTGAGGCAGGCTTTCTCTACAAGCTAGTCCCAGTGGCTCTGGGTTTGCATTCTGCCCCCTTAGCAATCCCAATAGAGAAAGGCTCTTTGTTTCTTAGTTCTGAGAAAAATCCCAGGACTAAGTCTCATTGGCCTGTGGCCGGTATGCCCCATGACCATATTGACCCAATCACAGGGACGCACTGCTTTTTTTTTTTTTTTTTTAATATATTTTTATTTATTTCTAGGGGAGAGAGAGAGAGAGACATCGTGAGCAGGGGAGGGTCAAAGAGAGAGAGAGATACAGACTCTGAAATAGGCTCCAGGCTCTGAGCTGGCAGTCAGCACAGAGCCCGACGCGGGGCTTTAACCCACGAACCGTGAGATCATGACCTAAGCGAAAGTCAGCCGCTTAACTGACTAAGCCACCCAGGCGCCCCATGGATGCACTGCTTTGATCGGCTAAGCCTGGGTCATGTGCCTTACTCTGGGATCTGGGAGGAAAAGAGATTCTCTAAAGAAAAATGATAGTTCTCTTTCAGGAATAGGGACTATATTCTTAGGCAAAAAAACCCCCAAAAAACCCAGATGTTGTTTTCACACCTCTGCTTCAGTTACACCAGACTGGAAATGCCTCCTAGCATTTACTCATAGCTAGAAAGAAGACTCTTCTCTTTGCTTTTCTCCTTTCAGCCTTCTACTCATCCTTCAAAGCCCTGTTCAAATGTTACCAATTCAGTGAAGCCTCTCCAAAACACTTCTCCCTCTGTGGAATTAACCCTTCTTCCTCTAAGATTTCATAACCTTTTATTTGCACTTTATTAGTGGGTTAGAGTACAGGCTATTTTGTAACAAAACCCAATGATACAAGGGCTCAAACAAGCTGGAGGTCTCTCTCTCAAACATGGCAGTCCAGAGGTGAGTGGGCCACGAGTGGTGGGCTCGTGGGGTCATCTAGGGACTCAGTGTCTTTCCAATACCAACGCATTGCTTCACCACCCTTCAGGGAGTTGTCCTTATCTGCATGGCCAGAGATGGCTCGCGCTGTCACATTCTCAGGGAGTGGAGGGCAAGCAGATACCTTTAAGAAAAAAAAAAAAAAGTTTGCCATTTCCCAGTGAAGCCAAAAACATACATACTCAGTAACCCAGAATTTCCACTCCTGTCTGTATAGGCAGTGGAAGTGAGCACTTCTGCCCTTCAAAAGACACGTGTAAGACTGTTAACAGCAAAGAAACCAGACACAGAGCCCACATATTACACGAGTCTTTATGCGAAATGTCCAGAACAGGCAAATCCATAGATGTAAAGTAGATTAGTGATTGTGACATGCTGGCAGGGGAGGGAGGTAAGGGAGTGACTGCTGATGGGTCCAGGCTTTCTTTTGGGATGATGAAGATGTTCTAGAATTAGGTAATGGTGATGGTTGTACAATGTTGTGAATATACTGGAAAACATTAAATTGTATACTTTAAAATTTTTTTTTTTTAAATGTTTTATTTATTTCTAGGAAAGAGACAGCATGAGTAGGGGAGGGTCAGAGAGAGAGGGAGTCACAGACTCTGAAACAGGCTCCAGGCTCTGAGCTGGCAGTCAGCACAGAGCCCGACGCGGGGCTCGAACCCACGAACCGTGAGATCATGACCTAAGCGAAAGTTGGACGCTCAACTGACTAAGCCACCCAGGTGCCCCAGAAGAGCTTGTTACTCTTGATCTCAGGGTTGTGAGTTCCAGCCCCATGAGGGGTGTAGAGATCAGTTAAATAAATAAAACTTTAACAAAAAAGGGTTATGTTATGGCATGTGAATTACATTGCAATTAAAAAAAATAAAAAAGAATGTTCAGAGCAGCTGTATTTCTGTTAGCTCAAAACTGAAAACAACCCAAGTGTTTGTCAATAGCAGAATGAATAAATAAGTGGTGGTATCTCCATTTAGTGGAATACTATACATAAACAACATGGATGAATCCTACAGACATAATATGGAGAGAAAGAAGCCAGCCATGAAATATACTGTAGGTATACCTATAAATAGATTGAAGAGATTGTACACATGCTTTCACCTTATTGGTTGGAACTTAGTCACATGCTCACATTAGCTGCAAGGGAGCCTGGGAAATATGCTCTGTCAGCCAGCTAAAATGGGGGGAAATGAGTTAGTCATGACTGTTGTGTGTCAGAGTTATCATATTCTCTAGGTGATCATTATCCTCACTCCATGTGAGAATTTTACCAGTGAGGTTAGCACCCTGTTTTCTAACACCAGTGCTCCATGCGTGCTTGTTGAGTTTGAATGGTTTTGGTTGGGGCCCAACCAACCTTCCCAGGGCTGTTAAGGAACGTGGTGGCCCTCACAGGTGCTTTCCTTCCAGGCTCTACTTAAATCTGGTCCTTGGCAATGTGAATGTGACCCTTCTCAGCAACCAGGCCAAGTAAGTATCTCAGACCCCCAGCTGGCATTAGGGAAGCCAGACATTTTGTTCTTTCAACTCAGGAGAAATGAACCAAGCTGAAATTTTTACATAAATAAAGAAATATTAATAGTTGGGGCTCTGGCTCTTCATCTTTCTGACACTCTCCTCCTCATTGAGAGGCCACCATGGGAGGGTTCTTTCCTTCTTTTCATGCAGTCAATACATTGGGTGAACAGAAGTGCCACTTTCCCATGAGATATGGCCCCTGCTCCATTCCACTCCTTATGACACAGTTCTCCTGGGAAGCAGGCACTACTGTCACCTGAAATCATGAGTCCCAGCAGTACAGCCGTGGTGTTTCTGCTGCAATAGCTGGTTGGGAAGGAACCTGTCTCCACCCCCTGCCTATCCCCATCAAAGGCCTAGATACCTGCCTGGGAGTCCAGGGACATGGAGCTTTGCACATTGGCCCTCTTGCTCTAATTGATCATCACTATTAATTCAAGACCAGAGCTTTTCTTTAGTGGGATGAGAAGGTCCTTGTGGGCTGTGGGTAGTGATAGATGAAGGATCTGATGGGGATTCTGCCCCCAGATGGGATACAGTTACATTACTATAACTATAGTAATAGTTGTGTGACCTTTCCTGGGGGTGTCTGTCACTGCAGATTTGCTTACAAGGATGAGTATGAGAAGTTCAAGCTCTACCTGACCATCATCCTGCTCCTGGGTGCTGTGGCGTGTCGCTTTGTCCTTCACTACAGGTAACAGGAAGGTGGTGGTGTGTGTAGGCATGGGATTGAGGGGGCGTCTCTCCTGCATCTGCAACGTTTGGTAGATTGTAGGTAGAGAAGAGCCATTTCTCATGGGAAATAGCAGTCCTGTCCACCCTACATCCATCCAACAAATACCTACTGAACAGCTACTGGAAGAGGCCTTATAACTTGTAGTTAGGAAAGAGCCCAATGGCACACGGAAATTGTGGAATATTATTTGGTCATAAATAGGAATGAAGTACCAACACATGCTTCGACATGGATGACCCTTGAAAACATTATGCTCAGTCAAGTTCGTCAAGAAAGGCCACATTACATGATTCCATTTCTATGAAATGTCTAGAACAGGTAAATCTAGAGAGATAGAAAGCACATCAGTGGTCAGGAGCTGGGCAGAGGGGAAATCGGGGAGGGTACTGTTGATGGATGTAGGGTTTCTTTTGGAGTGTTGAGAATGTTCCAGAATTAGATGGAAGTCATGACTGTACAACCTGGGCAATATACTACAACCTAATGAATTATATACTTTGCAAGGGTGAATTTTATGGTATATGAATTATATATCAATTAGGAAAAGAAAAAAGGAAAGAAGGGAAGAAAGGAAAATAGATCACAGACTGCCTGGCTGTCTGAATCCTGGCTTTGGGACTATCCTGGCCGTTACCATGAGCAGGTTCTCTCTGGGAGCCTCAGTCTCCCCATCTGTAAAATGAGAGTGACACCAAGCTGTGCTAACTGCGTGTGGAGGGCTCTGCCCAGCGCCTGGCACCAGCGATGCCAGTGAGAGCGTCAGCTGCTGCTTTTGGAGCAGGTCGAGGCATGTTGCCCTGAGAGGCTGAGGCCAGTGGGTTCAAGCTGTTATGCCTCAGGGGGTTTCATTCCCCCCCCCCCCACCTTTAGCCCCCACCCTAGGTTTTCTGCCCCGAGGGGAGGCAGCCAAGTACAGCTTGGGCGTTTGGCCTGCGTGTCAGGGGTTTATTTCCTGGCAGGCGCTTGGCTGGGAGTCCAATTGCTGGTCTGGCCACTTGAATGTCCAAACAAAGGCCCTTTGAGGTCCTGGGCCCGTGGCTGCCTGCTGCCTCGGGCCTGGCCTGGTTCCCTGGAGGGTAGAGGCTGCACGCATCAGTGCTGCCTGCTCACATGCCCCTCTGGAAAGGATAGAAGTTCTTGATGTGCAACCAGATTCCCTTGCACCAGGACATCCAGGGCCCTCAGAAGGGCACACCTGTCCTATGTTGTCAACTTCTGAAGTTCAGTTTTCTCCCCATCCCTTTCTGTATGCATTTCCTGTAAGCCTCGAACAGCATGGCTTAGAACAATAGAAATCTATTTTCTCACAGTTCTAGAGGCCAGAAGTCTGAAATCAAGGTGTTGGTGGGACCACGCTCGCTCTGAAGGCCGTAGGGGAGGGTCCTGCCTTGCCTCTTCCACTTCCTGGTGGCGCTGGCTTTCTTGGCATCCCTGGCTTAGAGAAAGCTGTTCCCTCCCGTCCCGGCTTCACATGCCTCAGTCTCCTCCTGTCGTCTCCTTCCCTGTGTGTCCCTTTGTTTCTCTCATGACCTTCTTATGAGAATGCCAGTCCCTGGAGTCAGGGTCTACCCTCACCCAGTATGACCTTAACTAATTACATTTCCAAAGATCGTATTTCCAAATAAGGTCATATTCTGAGGTCCTGGGTGGACGTGAATTTTGAGGGGACACTATTCAACCTAGTATACCTCCCGTGGGTTACAGATAGGACGGGGGGGAGGGGGGGGGCTGGGCAGGCGGCTCATCTCTCTTCTGTTGCCTTCAGGGAAGTTTGCCCTGCTGTTTAACCTTGGGAAAATGACTTAGCCTTTCCCCACCTCAGTTTCTTTACACAGAAGATGAGGATAATGAGAGGTACGTGGTAGGGTGATTGAGGGGGCCGGATAGGTTGTATCTGCAGTACCTCAAATAGTGCCTGGCACAAAAGTGCTGCCGAAGTGTGAGCAGTTGTGGTTCCTGCCATCATTTTGTGCTGGAGGAGATCACAGCTCAATATCCGGTGCACCCAAGGGGCTGGATTTTCTTTCCTTACTCTTGCCCCATTGGGGCGGTTTCCTTGCTGGGTGTCCCACCCAAAGGCCCTTCCATGGTGTCTCTAAGGCTGGAGCTGGGCATGGCTAATGTTCTTCAGAACCATGGGTTCTCGGTCCAGCTCTGCCACTCACAGATCATGTGACCTTGAGTAGAGCCCTCCATGTCTGTGTGTGTGGTTCCTCATCTTCCCCATGGCCAGAGGACATCTGCTCATGTTGCCTGGTCCTTGGGATGCTTTGGTGAGGCTGCTGGAGAGTGCTATGCCTCCTCCTTCTGCCTTCAGGCCGAGAGGCTGTCTGGTTAGACTAGTCCTCTATCAGGATTGGGCTTTGAAGCTGGCAGGAAAGAGGTGGTTGGAATTAAGCTTGGGTTGGTTGGGCTTGGGTTTGGATTTCACTCCTGGGCAGCTCACTTCCTCTCTATTGGGACCTCAGTTTCCTTATCGATAAAATGGGAAGTTGTACTGTCTTAGTTTGTATTCCCCCTGAAGCAACCCCCAAGACAAGCATTTGAGTGCCAGCAGTTTATTTGAGAGGTGATCTCGGGAAACATTGGTTGGGGAATGGGAAGTGAGACAGGAAAGGCTCCTCTGTGGGCATCTGGACTGCATGTTGCTGGAGAACTGGGGACAGCATGGAACATGCCTCAGTCATGCCACTTGAGGGGTGAGGGAGCAAGGGTATTTTTTTTCCAGCTGCTGTTGGTCAGGGGAGTTGAGGACTGCTTCCAGAGGATGATAACTCCCCCTCTCTTCTGATCTGCCTCTCACATTGGCAGAGTGAGCTCTGAGTCCCAGGCATGCCAGGAGTTGTCAGGTGCTGGGAGTTCTGTAGATGGGCACAGATGTAGTAGGTGCATCTGCACAGGAAGCAGTCCTGTAGGGTTGTTCGAGGACCCAGGCAGATGGTCCGTGTAATGCCTCAGCATTACAAGTCCCCAGCAGTTAGTGCTGGCCTGGTATGGCAGCCTGAGGAATGGTCCCTGAAGACATGCATGCTCCAGTCCCCAGAACCTGCAAAATATTATTACCTCATGTGGCAAAACGTCTTCATAGATCGGTTAAGTTCAGGATCTTGACAAGAGATTATCCTGGATTATTCAGTGGCCCCAATGTAAGTATGAGGATCCTTAGCAGTGGGGGATAGGAGGGTCCGAGTCAGAAGCAGAGGTCACGGTGATTCTGTGCCACGAAAAAGGAATGTGGGCACCTCTAGAAGCTGGAAAAAGAAAGGAAATGGATCCTCCCCTAGAGCCTCCAAAAGGAGCCCAGCCCTACTGACCCATTGCAGACTTCTGACCTCCGGAACTGTCAGGAAATAAACACATGACTGTGGTCATCTGTTACAGCGGCAACAAGAGGCTCATACGCTTTGGCAGAGTGGGCCAAGGCCAGTGCCTGAAGCATGTCCCTAATGTGCTGGGGACATAAGACTTTACTTCTGTTCTTCTCTTTCCTGATAAGATATAGGAAAGGACCAATGAAAAATATCCTGGTAACCCCGACTCACTCCTGGGCCTGTCCTCTGGAGGCAAGCCCAGAAGTCAGTGTCTAAGGGACCCTGTGCACTGGAGGGGCCAGACTCACGCCAACACCCTGTTCAAGTCAAGGAGGGCTTTGATTTCCTCAGAGTTAGGCATCCAAGACTCATTTCTCAGACTTTGGGTACTCTGTGAATATTCCAGAATTCTAGCAGGGAACATATGTAGCCCTTCCCATGCCCCAGGCACTGTTCTACACCCTTCACATGTGAGACTCAGCTGATGCTCACAGCGGCCTACACGGGAGCTGCTAGTAGTCCCCACACACTGGGGGGCAGCCGTGACGGCACGGGAGAATCACCAACATGCCCCCAGTCCCACAGCCGGAAAGTGGCAGAGCTGGGATTTGAACTCAGGCCCTGAGTTTCCAGAGGCCGCTTCTGGGCCTCCCGAGACTGCCTCTGCAGGCGATGGTTCAGGAGGGCTTGGGGTGGAAAGCCTGTCATCCGTGACCACAAAACAGGGTCACGTAGCTTAAAAGACACCTTCCAGCTTCTGCTTGTTGTTGGAGTCACACTCCCCCATTCCCTCCTGGGGTTATCTTCATCTTCCCAGTTCAGAGACAGAAATGGAGGAGGTGGGGAGAGTCCCCCTCCCGTGTGCAGATGGATGGCGCCCCATACAGTTGTTTCTCTTCCCACGCTGAATGGATGTGAAGGCACCGGGAGGTACAGAGGCACTTCCCTTTGGGGTGGGAGATAGAGCCTTCATGAGAGTCAGTGGCAGGCGAGCCCTCCAGGGGACTGTCTGCTGCAGCCTCTGTCCCAGGACCCTTCTCCCAGCGGTGTTCAGGTAGGGGGCTGGCCTTCCCATTTTACAGACAGCAAAGCTGAGGCCCGGCAGGTCTCTGACAGGGTCACATGCAGCATATCTGCCCACTTTCCACCCTGACCAGGGCACGGCAACGGCCCGGACGCTCTGCTCTGTCCGCCTTCACCGCTTGCTCTGCCCAGCTCTGGTACCACTGGGGAGGCAGGGAGTTCCTAAGTTCATCTTACAGACAGTTCAGGCCATAAGGACTTTTTTGTGAGTGCCAAGTTTATAGATGGTTTAAGGGGATGGAGGGAATTTACATTTTGACACTGTAGACAGTTTAAAAATACAGTATTAGGGGTGCCTGGGTGGCTTAATCGTTTAAGCGTCCGACTTTCGCTTGGGTCATGATCTCGCGGTTCATGGGTTCGAGCCCCGCGTCGGGCTCTGTGCTGACTGCCAGCTCAGAGCCTGGAGCCTGTTTCAGAGTCTGTGTCTCCCTCTCTCTCTGACCCTCCCCTGCTCACGCTGTCTTTCTCTCTCCTAGAAATAAGTAAAAAACATTAAAATTTGTTTAAAAAAATAAAAATAAAAATACAGTATTAGGTTTTCTGCTTAAAATCCTGTTGCCATTCCACCAAAAATTTTTACATGAGACAGTAAGAATTTAGAAGGGAGAGAGGGTGTCCTAGGCTGAGTGCTCAAGGAGGGAGAGGAAACCAGCTAGAGCCTTAAAGGCTGGTAGGGTTCCAGTAAAAAGGTGAGGAGGGGGACAGGTGTGCCAGGTGGAGGCCAGGCCTCCCCTGTCTGCCCAGGATCAGCGGGAGTTTCCCCGAGGCACCCGGTGGGCAGTGCTCACCCTGATTTGCTGTTCTGTGGTTGTGCGGGTGGGAGCTCCTTCCTGGTTCTCACGCCTGCTCTCCTCCCTGGGGCTGTTTCTTTCCACCAGGGTGACGGACGAAGTTTTTAACTTCCTGCTGGTGTGGTATTACTGCACCCTGACAATTCGGGAGAGTATTCTCATCAGCAATGGCTCAAGGTAACTGGGGACCTGGCTTTGTGGGGGGCGTAGGGAGAGCCAAAGGGACATCTGTCATGGAATGGATGCAGGGGAGGGCTGTCACCCTCAGCCTGTATTCCCTTCCTCCTTGGAGTGGGGGGGGGGGGGGGGGGGCGTCCGTGACTGTTCGGATTCAGGGAGGAGGGAGAACATGTGTGCTGTGGCAGTGTCACCAGCCCTGGTCAGTCTCTTGCTTACAAAAAACTAACTCAAATGGGTTTAACGCAACAGGAAATTTATTTTCTCATATCAAGGAATAGATCTATTGGGACTGACTTCAGGTCAAGCTTAATCCAGATGCTTAGACAATGTCATCAGGACCCACTTTCTCTCCACCCTTCACTTCTGTTTTCTACTGTGCTGTCTTCATTCTCAGGCTCCATGCGGAAGCCCAGGAGCTCCAGGCTCAGGTCTTCATTTCTAGCATTCTCAGCAAAATAGAGCATATCACTTCCTTCCAAAAGCCTCCCTGGGTCCCATTGACACTTGATGAATCATGTGGCCGTCTCTGAACCAATCCCTGGCCAGAGAATGCATGGCTGTGATTGGCCAGGCTTGAGCCCCATGCGCCCCTACAGCTTAGGAGTGAGTGTCAGGAGGGGCGTGTTTCCCCAGAGGAAAATTGGGATGCTGTCACCAGAAGGATGAATGGATTCTGGTGACAAGAGTGGATGGTCCCCCCACAGGGAGATAGGACGGAGGACACGTGGTAAGGGTTTTCGTTCAAACCCGCCTGCCCGGCTGGTGCCAAGGAGGAAGACAGCCAGGCAGGCTGGGAGCGAGGGTTCTGGGGTTCTAGTCCTGCTGCTGTTCCTGAGCAGCTCTGTGACCGTGGCCAACTGGCGTCCACTCTCTGGGCTATTTCACAGCCCCCTGGGGGAGTGTGTCTCAGGGTTGCTGAGTGAATCAAGGCACGATTGGGGCTTCCATCACTGAGGGCCTTCTATGCAAGGAGCCCCACTGTTTCTTCATTCTCCTTCCTATCCCCACCTGTCTCCGAGCTGAGACCCACAACTGGCCACCTGCAGGACCCATTTCCACAGGTCTGTTTCCTTTTTGGGATGGCCATTTTCATCTCTGTCTCTATTTTCTCCTGAGACAGAAAGTAACAACCTCCCAACCCCTCCCTGCTTCCTCCCTCCTGGACACTAGTAAGGAACTGTCATGAACTGTGTATTTCAGACTGGGGGGGTGTCTGCAAACCCCTAAGTAATTTGCCACCTTTTCACTTCTCTGCCCAGTGGTCTCTCATGGCAGATTCCTGCCCTGCCGGGCCTTAGCCTGCATGTAGAGCCCAGAGGTAAGGAGAAGGGAGCAGCAGTTTTTAGGTGTGCAAGCCCTGTAGCATGTAGCCCTTTAGAAAGATCAGTGTTTCTCAAACCACAGTCATTCCTCACCTATCCCCGCCATTTTTGCCTTTTCCATGTATCATCTGGATGACAATGTTCACAATTTAAATCAACCTCTCCTTTAAAAAAAAATATTAGTTTATTGTAGAAGGAAATTTTATTTCATCACCGTACATGGAAAACCAGCATCAGTTGCAGGAAGGAGGAAGTAGTGTAAAAATATCCTTTTGTTTTCCTTGTATAAGTTTTTGAAGTCAATTATTCTTGCTTCCGGAAGGCTCTGAGCCTGAGGCCTGCCATCTTTCTCTCCGTGTGTGTACATGTGTGTAAAAAGGGAGATTATCGGGCCTTGCATGGCATTAAAGAGACTCTCTCCTGGACTTAGGAGAACAAAGAGAACTGAAAAGATGACCTCTCCCCACACAGTTCAGTAGCATCTAGTGTGACACTCAGGTGTCATCTAAACCTTGATATATGTACCCTATGCTTTGGGAAACACTGAGGTGGAAAATCTTACCAAATAAATAACACTCATAGTCTTCCTTAATTGTAGTGAATAGTATCTTTCTGCTTTTGGGTGTTGTTGGAGGGGAGCCAGGGTGGTAGATAGTGGGGAAAGGGGGTCTGGACAAGTGGCAAAGTCTTCCTGGTCATGAATTCTCTTCCTGTTGCTGTCAGTCTTAACAGTTTTATCCTTCTCATGGACTCTAAGAGTATTCAGAGGCATGCTACATCTCTAACAGTCACTAACATTCTAGTAAGAGTTATACTGGTCACCTCTTTATCGAGTGTGATAACCTGTGGATGGGGGAGGGGGGCGTGGTTACCACAGAGAAGGGAGCAGGACTGAGTGGAGGTCTCTGCGAGTGAGTCACACCAGGAAAGTGGGGAGGGGGCCACAGCGGGGTAGAAGTGGGGTTCCAAAGCCAAGTCTCATTTGCCTAACACTTCAGCAGGTATTGCAAGTTGTAATGGGACTGTTCCCCTGGCCTGACTTCTGCTGTGACCTGGGGCAGGAGTTCGGATGTGGTGGGGGCTGGGATCTGGAATGGGTGGGGTGGGTTTGGTGCTTTATCTTATGGAATGACTTCGGAGGTGTGGTTTATTAGTTCAGTTAGTGCAATAAGCAAATCAAGTTCCTTTGTAAATCCTGCAAATGAGGGAAAACCACCGGATAGGAGTAAACCTGAAGGGGGAACGTATATAGGCATACCTTGTCTAATTGCACTTTGCAGATACTGTGTTTTTTACAAATCGAAGGTATGTGACAACCTTGTGCCGAGCAGGTCTATCTATCGGCATCATTTTTCCAACAGCATTTGCTCATTTTGTGTCTGTCACGTTAGTAATTCTTCCAGTATTTCAAACTTTTTCATTATTATTATATTTATTGTAGTGATCTGTGATCAGTAATTACAATTTGCTGAAAACTCGAATGATGGTTAGCATTTTTTACAATATATTTTTAATTAAGGTATGTACGTTTTTTGTAATTTAATTTTTTTTTTAATTTAGAGAGAGAGTGAGCAGGGGAGAGGGGCAGAGGGAGACAGAATCTTAAGCAGGCTCCACGCTCCATGCAGAGTCTGACACGGGGCTCAATCTCACAACCCTGGGATCACGACCTGAGCGAAATCAAGAGTTGGATGCTCAACCGACCACCTGAGCCACCCAGGAACCCCTATGCATTGTTTTTTTTAGACCTGCTATTGCGCACTTACTAGACTACAGTACAGTGTAAACATAACTTCTATAGGCACTGGGAAAACAAAAACTTCACTTGACTTGCTTTACTGTCACATTTGCTTTATTGCAGTAGCCTGCAAGTGAACCCACGGTATCTCTGAAGTATGCCTGTATATTAATAGTTAAAGGCGTTGAAACTGCCTCATGTTAACAGTGCCTCTCCCCATTCTGTCCTCCTGCTACATTGGCCAGCATCACAACAGATCAACAATCTGCTCTTTCCTCGGAAGATCCAGTTATAATTTTGAGGCTGATTTCTGATTGGCTAGGCTGAGGTCATGTGCTCATCCCTGAGCCAGTCACTGTGGCTGAAGGGATGTAGAGCCTTGATCGGCTGGCTCTGAGTCATGTGCCCAGCTATATCCCTCAGCTCCCCCTCAACCAGGCTCAGACCAGTGTGGGGATGAGGTGGTTCACCAAAGGAAGGGCCTGGTGTGAAACCAGCATGCGAGGAGGATGGGGGGTGTGTGGGCTTGGGGGAGGTTGGTGATTGACAGAGAGACAAAACAGCAGATGTCCTCTATAGTTAGTTCTGGGCCAGAATAAATAATGAATCGGGGATAGTGTTAGCTTTTCTGGCCAGCTTGCCCATGGGTGCCTGGTTCCAACTGGCTATTGTAGGGGCCTTTCCTAGAATAAAGACTAGGGGTGGCCAGGAGCAAGGGATCCTCTGTGGAAGCTAGCTATACCTCCTCGCCTGTCCACATGACCCGAAGCTCAAAGCCAGAAACAGTCTGTGATTGGATAATTTCTGGGGCCTGTGAAATGTGCACGTGTACAAATATGGGGAAGGTGTCCTGAGGGGAGGGCCATGGTCTCCAGCACGATCCCCAGACACTAGGCCATGCTATTCCTACATTGGGACTGTGTGTGCACCATTCTTCATTGGGTGTCTACTGTCTGCTCATTAAAAAGCCCATTAACCCCTACAAATTTTATTTTTGTGGGAAAACAGGCCCAAGGAGTAACCACTAATGGATGCAAGTTTCTTTTGGGGGCAATAAAAATATCCTAAAACTGATTGTAGTCATGGTTGTGCAACTGTGTGAATGTACTAAAAACTACTGACTTGTATACTTTAAATGGATGACTTGCATGATATCTGAATTAAATCCCAAAGTGTGCAAGTACACGCGCACATACACATACACAGGCACAAAACCAGCCCAGCGCCCTGGAGAGTGTGGATGGATGAGGGGGTCATGAACGCCATGCGGGGGAAGAAGCAGTTTCTAGTCTTTCCTAGTGCCTCTGAGTGGTGCTTATTTACTGGGGGCACCTGTCAGAGCTGGGCTCTGGATGCTGGGTGTTGTGTGCTGGACTCTGGCGCTGTGAGCTGGGCTCTGGGCACTGGGTGCTGTGAGCTGATAGCTGCTGCTCAGCCAGGCGTGCTGCACAGACCCCGCACCTGGCTCGGCCGCTCCCACACTGCGAGGGGGCATTTCTCAGGTGGGCTTTGGGGAGGAAGACAAAGGGGCATGTGGTGTGCCAAGCCTCAAGGGCTTGTGTGTGTGGCTCTGCAGGGAACTTGGAAAGAAGTGGTTCCAGAGAGGCTTCTTGGGTGCTTCTCAAGCTGGGAGTCTGAGGATGGGGCTGCCTTTTCTATCAGAAAATTAGAGCCAGGGGCCCTTGTAGACTCTGACAGGCAACACAGGGACATTGGGAGGGGGAGACCCATGAAGAAGTGGGTGGATGTCTTGTCCTGCACCTGCGTGCTGGTGGCATCTAGACTATCTGCTGTTTCATCAGCCACACCTCCTGGACATCACTTCATTTGTTTCAACATTTATTGAGTGCCTGCTCTTTACCAGGTGCTATTAGTGCTAGGAATAAAGAGTCACATAAGACCTTGTTCCTAACCATAACCCTTGAGGCATCCACAGGCCATGCTTGAACCCCTAAATTATGTCCAGATCTCTTGTGAGATTGCAAAGAGGAGAGATGAGTAAGATCCAGTCCCTGCGCATGAGATGTGTGCATCTGATTGGAAGGTTTTAAGACCACTCAGACCCACTTATTAAGACAATGCAAATTAAAACCTCAGTGACACACTAATTTTCACCTAAATAAGAAATTTTAAAACTTGGAATCCAGCATTGACGAGGGTTTGGGGAACCAGATTTCTACTGTCCAGTCCTTGGGAGGAAGGAGCCCAGCTGCTCCCAGGCTGCATTTGGGAAAGCAAATCATTGCCACATTGTGTTCAGGTAATGAGCTCTTAGGGGCTGGAGAAGATCAGCAGAGACCAAAGACAAGACTCCAGGATTTCGAAGGTTAAAAGGTTTGAGGGTCCAGCTTTCATCCTAGGCTGGGACATTGACACTGAGGAGGGATGACAATGAGGCTCCCTCCCCTGCTGTGAGAGCCCTCAGTTGGGGGAGCACTGGGTTCTGAAAAAGGTTCCCACAGCTTCTGGACCGGACACAGGAAGTCCAAGGCTTGGCAAGGGCTTGCTGTAGACGGAAGAGCAGATGAGACAGGGGCGTGGGCTCCCAGGGAGAAACTGTCTGGGATGATGTGAGATGCTGTGTGGGCAGTCTGTCATTTCTGTGTGTCTGCGTGGGATAACGTAGGTAGCTCAGTTCTGTGTAAGTGTGTGTTTTCTGTGTTTATTCAACACACTGAGCACCTGCTCTGAGCCAGATGTCACAGACACCTTGACGAAGAAGACAGACAAGATCCTTGCTCTTCTGATGTTTACATTTGAGTGGGGAAGAGGGTTCAGAGAAAAAAATGAATAATTTCAGATAGTGGTAAGCACCATGAAGAAAATGAAACAGGGTGATGTCATCTAAAATGGGGCTGCCTGGCTGTTTTAGATAAGGTAGCCAGAGAAGGCCTTTTGAGGGAGGTGACGGTTGGTCCAAAACTTGAATTTGGACCAGGAGACAGGCCACCCAAGTTCTTGGAGCAGAGAGAATAGCAAGAACAAAGGCCCTGTTAGACGAAATACCACAGGCTGGGTGGTTTGAACAACAGAAATCTATTTTCTTTTTTTTTTTTTAATATTTTTATTTCTAGGAGAGAGAGAGAGACAGTGTGAGCAGGGGAGGGTCAGAGAGAGAGGGAGTCACAGACTGAAACAGGCTTCAGGCTCTGAGCTGGCAGTCAGCACAGAGCCCGACGCGGGGCTCGAACCCACGAACCACGAGATCGTGACCTGAGCGAAAGTCGGACGCTTAACCGACTAAGCCACCCAGGCGCCCCCAGAAATCTATTTTCTCATGGTTCTTGAAGGCTTGAAGTCCAAAGAAAAGGTGCCAGCAGGATTGGTTTCCCCAAAGGCCTGTCCTTGGTCTATAGATGGTCACCATGGCTTCGTGTGGCCTTTGGGGGTTTGAACCCATGACACAGATCAAGATTTGAGCTTAGGTTGAGTCCAGTGTTTAACCAACTGAGCCACCCAGGTGCCCTTTAAAAAAATTTTAAGTTTGTTTATTTTGAGAGAGAGCGAGAGTGCACAAGCAGGGGAGGGGCAGAGAGGAGAGACAGAATCCCAAGCAGGCTGTACGCCATCAGCACAGAACCCGATGTGGGGCTCGAACTCACAAACTATGAGATCATGACCTGAGCTGAGATAAAGAATTGGACACTTAACTGACTGCCACCACACAGGCATTCCCCCACCACCTTTTTCTTAAACCTTAATTACCTCTTTAAAATTCCTATTTCCAGGGGCCCTTGGCTGGCTCAGTCAGTGGAGCTTGTGACTCTTGATCTCTGGGTCGTGAATTTAGCCCCATTTTAACATTTTTGAGAGACAGAGCATGAGTGGGGGAGGGGCAGAGAGGGAGGGAGACACAGAATCAAAGCCGACTCCAGGCTCTGAGCTGTCAGCACAGAGCCCGATGTGGGGCTTGGACCCACGGACTGTGAGATCATGACCTGCGAAGTTGGACGCTCAACCGACTGAGCCACCCAGGGGCCCCGTGTGTGGAGATTACTTAAAAGTAAATAAATAAAGTTCCTGTCTCCAAAAACAGTCACATTCTCAGGTACCGGGGTTTAGGGCTACAACATAGGAATTTGAGAGGGACACAGTTCGGCCTATAACAGGCCCTGGGGTAGCAATGGTCTTGGCAGGTTCAAGGAGAGGACAGGGAGGCGGGGCTTGAAGCGGGGTGTTCTTAGGGTAGTGGGAAGCCACTGGGGGCCCGAGTCCCGTGAGTCTCCTGGCCAATCTGTGAGTGGTTTATGTGTGCTTATGCATCCCTGTAGGACAGAGTAAAGGACAGAGTCATGGCTTGGGTCTATTTCATGGCTGTTTCTGGGCCACAGAGCAGTCCCCATGCCCCCCACGTAGCCAAGAACGATAGCTACCTGTGTTTCCTTCCCCACCTGAGCTCCTTTTCCTTCTCTTCTCTCCAAGAATTAAAGGCTGGTGGGTGTCTCACCATTACGTGTCCACTTTCCTCTCTGGAGTGATGCTGACCTGGTGAGTGTCTCATGGGGGTCCGTGAATGGGGGGAGCCGGTGGTAGGCAAGGGAGCACCTTCAGGGCTCCTGGCCTGGGCTGACTTTTGGGCCAGGAAGGAAAGCGTGAGCTTACAGACAGGCCACTGGGATTCCCCACGCCAGCTGGGAAGTTTCTGGGGAGGTCCCATTGGCCTGCCGGCTGGGGCAGAGGTAACAAGAAGTGACAGACCGCAGGGATGAGGCTCCAAAGGAGACAGACGGAGAGAATCAGCAAGAGCTTAGGCTTCAGAATGATGATATGGGCTCCCTAGGTTCTAGAATGGGCCTAAAGCAGTGATGGGAAGTAACCTGGTCCAGCCCGAGGGACATGGGTGCTGGAGAAGGACAGAAACCAGGGATCTCCATTTAATTTTAAAAGCTTTTCTCACTTAGCTGGAACAGAGAGGGGCAAGGATGAATGTTTGATTTCACAGCATGCTTCACCTTTGCTTTTCCCCACTTTTCTGCAGGCCTAACGGATTAATTTATCAGAAGTTTCGCAATCAGTTTTTAGCATTTTCCATTTTTCAGAGTGAGTGTTTCTTGCCTAGATTGGGGGGGGGGGGCATGGTTTCCTGTGGCTTTTCACTGATGAAGGCCCCTGTCCTCCCTCCTCCCTTGTGGGGGGTGTGCCTAGTGTGGAAGGGCGCTCCAGGCAGGAGAGAATCCCAGAAATCCAGGAAAGAGCCGTCTCCCCCCAGATTGCTGCCCCGCCCTGGGGGAGGGGCAACCTGACCTCCCTCACCCCCAGGAGCCCCCATCACTGCCGTTTCTTCCCCAAGTCACAGCTGGACCAGTTGTGACTTTTGGGAACTGAGTGGTGTTGGAGGCAGTACCGCAAAATGGGAATAGAGTATATGTTCTTTTTCTCATTTAAGAATAGCTCTGGATTTATAGACGGTGAACTGGTCCCAGAGGTAGCCTCTGGGAATGGGAAGCTCAGATAGTTAGGAACAGTGGCAGAGAGAGAGTTTTATTTTTCACCAAGTACCTGTTTGTTCCCTTTGAATTTTATATCGTGGGTATATTGCCAATTAAAGCAATACAATTTAATTTTTTAAATTTATTTTTAATGTTTATTTTTGAGAAAGAGAAAGCATGCAAGCAAAGGGGAGGCAGAGACAGGGGACAGAGGATCTAAAGCAGACTCTGTGCTGGCAGCAGACAGCCAGATAAAGATACGGGGTTTGGCTACAGGGCTTGAACTCACAAAACGTGAGATCATCACCTGAGTCCAAAGCAAGAGTCAGATGCTTTAACTGGCTGAACCACCCAGGTGCCCCATGATGGGTATTTTTCTGTGTCACTACGGAGAATCCTATCTCCTCGTTTTTAGTAACTACTAAGTATCTCATTGTATGAAAACGTCTCTTGCTGTCTTAGCATTACACACAGCTCCCAGCATGGTGCCACCATTTCAGCAAGTATCTGTTGAGTGCGCACTGCGTGCTTAGGAAAGCTCTAGAAGTTTCTGGTCTTTCTGGTGCTTAGCTGGGTCTAAAGATAACCTGCTCTCGTTGTATTCCGGATAAGGGAAAAAATGGGTTCAGGCTGAATACGTGTGCGCGTGTGCGTGCGTGTGTGTTGGGATGGGAGGGGGTTGCCCTCTGGGCAGTGAAGACCCCTGGGTCTGCACGGAGTGGGCGCCTGGTCCTGCAGACTCTGAGCCAGATGCTGTGCTCCCCCTGCAGGCTGTGTCCAGTTCCTGCAATATTATTACCAGAGGGGCTGCCTCTATCGGCTGCGGGCTCTGGGGGAGAGGAATCATCTGGACCTCACGGTGGGTGAGTAGCCCAGTCTGGGGTTGGGGGGTGGACAGCTACTGGCCCCTCTTTTTCCCCCGGACCTCACTCCTAACTTCTACACTGGGAGCATGAACCAATAAAAACATAATAAGACCTCCCCCACACAGAGCCAGGACTGCTGGCTTCTCGCCTAAATTGCTTTTCATAATTCGTCATGGATTCTGTTTCAGCTGACAAGCTTGAGGCCAGCTGTGTGCCAGGCTTTGATGCTGGCTTCTGTCTTAACAAGTGTCTATTTTTTTGGTCTGTGTTTTATAATATATATAATGCTAGCCTAGTGTTGTGCATGTATAATTTATGTATAATATACCTACATATAAATATAGACACAAACATATATACATTGGGAAGGTGTGCTTAACTTTTAATTTTTTTAAATTCTTTTTTTAATGTTTATTTTTGAGAAAGAGACATAGTGTGAGTGGGGTAGGGGCAGAGAGAGAGAGGGGACACAGAATCTGAAGCAGGCTCCAGGCTCTGAGCTGTCAGCACAGAGCCCGATGTGGGTCTCGAACTCATGAACCATGAGGTTATGACCTCAGCCAAAGTCAGACATTTAACCGACCGAGCCACCCAGGCACCCCTTAACTTTTTTTTAACTCATGGGATGATTGAAGAGCTTGAGAGCTTTTGTCTCAACTTTCATAGGAAACTCAAAATTCTGCCATCTTTTGAGATGGTCATTTTCATTGAACTACTCTGCAAAGCAGGCCCTACTTTGTCAAGATTCACTTGGAAATGATGCATGCAAAAAGTCCATTATCCAAAAAAATGCAAAATTCCAGGGGCGCCTGGGTGGCTTAGTCGGTTAAGCGTCCGACTTTCGCTTAGGTCATGATCTCACGGTTCGTGGGTTCGAGCCCCGCGTCGGGCTCTGTGCTGACTGCCAGCTCAGAGCCTGGAGCCTATTTCAGAGTCTGTATCTCCCTCTCTCTCTGACCCTCCCCTGCTCACGCTGTCTCTCTCTCCTAGAAATAAATAAAAATATTAAAAAAAAAAAAACAAAAACCAAAATTCCAAGCAAATTAAAGAACTTATTAAAACACAGTGCCTGTCACGTCAGCTTTCCACAAGTGTTATCAAGCCCCAGGACTAGCGGCGTGAGAGCAGTCAGGCTTGGTGACAGGTGTTCTGCATTTTCTCTGGATGATTTTCATAGCTGAGCACTCAGCCACCCATGAGAGGGGAGGCTGTCCTCCCTGCCCCATGTGGGTGACTGGCGTAGTTGGGCAGCAGGCGCCTGCTGGGGCTGTGGGGGCAACCAGTCCCCCTTACGTGGGCCCTTGGCTTCCTCCTTCCTCTCCACAGAAGGGTTCCAGTCCTGGATGTGGCGGGGCCTCACCTTCCTCCTGCCTTTCCTGTTCTGTGGCCATGTGAGTCCCCCTAGAGTTTGTGGGTGTCCCCTGCTCTGGGCTGGCCCCGGGAACAGGTCTTCAGGCCTCTCCCACAATGACCAGCCACCAGGGTCCTGGGATGCCAAAGGCCAGAGCCAGGACTGGCCCTCAGCACCGGTGTGCCAAGTCCCACGTCTTCAGGCTGTTCTGGCCCAGCATGGCTCCACTTTCATTTTGGGGGGTTCTCAGTGTCTTGGGACAGGTGATACCAGAAGCTCGGTGGGGGGGTGCTGGTCCATTCCCTGGGCTTCCCCATGTGGGACTCCAGAGGAATCCGTTGGGGTAAGCGGTGCCTGCCTCCCTCCCTCCCTCAGTTCTGGCAGCTCTACAATGCCGTCACGTTGTTCGAGCTCTCCAGCCACGAGGAATGCAGAGAATGGCAGGTATGGGGGAGGGTCGCGGGCGTGTGCGTGTGTGGGGGGGGGGGGGGGGGGCTGCAGAAGGCTGGGCCAGCTTGGAGAGAATTCTTGCCTCAGCTACCCCTTGATTCCCCACTGTGGGGCCCTGTGCCCAGAGCTCCCTGCTACTGGGGCCTGGGAGACTTGGGGAGAACTCAGGAAGCTGGGGAACTCCTAAGTGGTCTGAACACCCTATTGAATGCTATGGGGGGGGTGCAGAGGAGAGGCCGTCCCTGACCCTGCATGACCCTGAGGACTCACAGCCTTCACTCAGTTGGCCCAGATCTCTGCTGTCTGCTGGTGGAACACTGTAGTTTTCAGGGGGCTTACGCTAAGGAGGTCACAGGGACAGGGTGGGCATCTCAGCAGGGAGCTGATCTGAGGAGCCTTTTCCTCATTTCCCTTGCCCCCCGCCACACCTTCGCCTGTCTTCCCCCCACTCCCCTCCCCCTGCCCAGGTGTTCGTGTTGGCGCTCACTTTCCTCGTCCTCTTCCTTGGCAATTTCCTGACCACACTCAAAGTCGTGCACGCGAAACTTCAGAAGAACAGAAACAAAGGGAAGAAGCTGTGAGCCAAGGGACCTGTGCATCTCCATCCCCCGGGGTTCAAGACTGCAGGGCGTTCCAGCTGGCACCTAGCTGCCCATTCTCTCCCCACAGTGCCCTTGGCCACCGACAGCAGCCACCTCAGGGGCCAGCGCATCGCTGGCAGAAGGGCCAAGGCCCTGGCCCCTGGTGGACAAGAGGAATGTGACCCCCGCTCGTCTGCACAATGTCAGCCTGCCCCAGCCTATTTATGACATATTTAATACGGGGTCCTCCCGACTGCCCTGGAACCCACAGTCTTCCCCGCTGCCCTCTCGTGGCTGAGACTGGGTCAGTCTTCCTGGGCGGGGGCCTGAAGCCTCAGGGAGCCCCTCAGGTCTGAGTTTGGATGTGCCTCGCTGGGGTGCCGACCTGCCACTTACTGAGTCTGTCCCCAGCCGGTGGAAGGAAAGCCCTCAGCGTCCTGTGGAGCCTCCCTCTGGGGCGAACAGCTTCTGCTGTAAGCTCTCTCGGCCTCCGCTGCTCTGTGGTGGGGTATTTAAGTTCTCGGAGAACCACTGTCTGTCTGTGCCTGGTGCTCTTTGCGCTTCGAGTCCCTCCTGCTGGCCACCTGGGGAGAGCCGCCCTGCCTCTCGGAGGGCTTGGCCCCTAGGGTGGGGCTGAGGCGAGGGGGGTGCCGCTACCACCAGAGGGCGCCCCAGCCTTGGCATCACTTGGGTGGTTTGAGGTGGTTTGGTTGTTTTTGACTCTAGAAAGTTTGGCTTCCTGACCCCCATGCCTCAGCCCACTTTCCTGAATTCTTATGGTGAGTGGGACCCTGACTTTCAGCCCTGGTGGGTATTTAAGCCATCCTGGAGCTATCTCCCCACTCCCCACCCCCTCAGGTTCTGGACTGTTTGTGGGGGGGAGAATCTGAGCAGGCTCACTTCTGGGAGGTGGCACTCGGAAGCCAGGACAAGTCTGCTGGTCACCTTCTGTCCGGGTCTGTACTTGCGGGGAGGATGAAGAAGCTAGCCGGTTTGGTTGAGTGTTCTGCCCCTTCTCCTGCACACAGGCCTCAGCTGCCTTTATTTCCCTACAAATCCCCCTGGACCAGAGTTCACAGCTGGCATCCAGTCATGCTTTGGCCCTCAGAGGAGTTTAAGCTTTATTAATTGTTACATTTTTAAAATGAGATTTCCCCTCCACCCCAGTAAGAGTCCACATAAAAACCCAGATTTCTACTTTCCCTAGAAAAATGTAAAGACCTCTGTCAACATTCCCACAGGGCGGTTCTTGGCCGGGCTGAGCTGCCTGCCTAGGATGGGGTGCTTGCTTCCTAGTGTGCCACAGACCCCACCACTCCCTTTTATACCTGTCCTGTTTCCCTCGTTTGCGCCTTCCATCTGGCCCTCAGGCGCTTGGGTTTTCCCCAGACAAGGAGTCAGTATCCTTTTTCTGTATAGGGCCAGATGGTAAATATTTGAAGGCCAAATAATCTGTCACAACTACCTTAGACTGCAGTCGTAGGGCAAAAGCAGCTAATGCATAGATAAATGAGTGTGGCTGTGTCCCAACAAAACTTTATTTACAAAAACAGGCAGCTGCCAGCTTTGGTCCACAGACTATACAGTTTGCATACTTCGTTCCATATTGTCATTTGTCCATGAGTCCTTGCATTGACGCCACTTTGACTCCCCAGGGCATGGCAGGGCCGTGGGGAACCTGTGTGAGGTGGGTGGAATGCAGAAGTGTCTCCCTAGCAATTGACTTCAGAGAGGCTCAGGCTTAGTGGGGCTGAGGCAGGAGATCCCGGGGAGGGCAGGGGCCACCTGAAGCCATTACGCCGTGTTCAGTAAGGCTGACTCCTGGCTCGCTCAGGAAGCAAGCAGCTGGCAGTCTCTGGGGCATGAGAATCGCCTGAGGGCACTTGTTTAAAGCTCCTGGACGTGACTACAGACCTTGCAGAAGGAGGTGCAGTGGATCTGCAGCTAGGGGTTAAGTGTGTTTTCCCAGGTCAGAATGGTCTCAGCTTCAGGATGGCAGAAGTGGAGGCCGTGAGGGACAGAGGAAGCTTGATGACTATTAAAATGAGCCAGTGCCATCCTTTTGCAGATAGGGAACCAGTCTATAGAGAGGAGTGACTTGCCCAAGATCACTCGGAGCTGATGTCACTTTTCATCTCAAGTTTCTGGCACTGGGGAGGGGGGTGGTTTGCAGGCGAGGATCCCCTGAGCAGGGCTCGGATATGTGGTTTTTGCCTTTTGAGAGAGAGTTCCTTGTCCCCCTCAGGCATGTTCACCAGCTCTGGAAAGGTGGCGGCCCAGCCAAAGGCTGAGACTGGAGTCCTCTGTTGGGGGGCCGGGGCCGCTGTTGGCGCCCATGTCCGGGGCTAGTGCCTGTGTTGTCCCGATAGGCCCCCATCCCATCGTGGCCCCCGAGCTCCTGGAGGAAGGAAGCGAGGAGCTGGAGGATGCAGTCGTGCCTATCTCCAGAGCCCAGGGACGTGGGTGACATGGGAGCAGCGGGCTTGGGGGGCTGTGCAGAACGCTGATGAATCCACATTTATCCACGTACCGGATGTAGTTCTTTGTTTCAAGCATAGGTTTTGAGGACCTAATTGGGGGTGCCGAGGGGAACACACATGGTTGGGGGGAGGCCGCGTACTCTTGAGTCCTGGGGACAAATGCTGGTTCCAGGTACAGAGGGACTGAGTCCAGCACCCTCACCCACCTCCATGCAGGCCACGGCTCCAGTGTGAACCCAAGGTGAGTTCATGGTCAGAGCCCCAGCTGGGAAAGAAGAGATCTCCAGAATGTTCTAAGAGTGTAACCAGAGGCTCCAGACACAGGGAGACACCCACCTCCAGGTGCCCTTGGAAAGCTGGGGGTGGGGCAGGATCTCAGGGTATAATCCGGGGCTGGCGGCTTGGCGCCCCCGTCAGTCTCGCCCTGAGGGTTTATGCCCTGCCCAGAGGGGTCAGAGCAGCAGGCACAACCTGTGTTGTTTCTGCCGCTGTGCTTTCTTCAGAGCACTGAGGGCAACCTTGGCGGCCTCTCGGAAGACGTCCTCCACATTCTCCCGAAACTTGGCAGAACATTCCAGGTAGAGGGCAGCTCGGATCTGTTCGCAAGCACTCTGGCCCTGGGTGGGGGGAGGGGCCAGCATTAGATGAGGGGTCTAGAGCATGGGGCGCCTCCTGACAACACCCCCCCCCCCATGGATCTGGGGACTTGGAGCTGGCTCTGGGAGCCCCCCGGGGGGTGGGGGCAAAGGCCTTCGTGTGGAGCACCCTTCTCCCTGTCCCCGGCCCAGGCACCCCCCCACCCCCAGCTTGGGTGGACGGAACATAAAGGCCTGTCTGGTGTGGCCTGAGGGCTGCAGCTGCCTCTCTCCTGTCCACCCTCAGGCAGAGAGGGGCCCAAATCCGACAACTGTGTCTGCCAGGCCTGTGACAAGAGCTAGAGGCCTCCAGACACAAAGGGCTTCCTACGTGCCTCTTCTCAAGAGCACAACTAAGGAAACTGAGCTTGCTAGGAGAGTAAAACCTGTCTCTGCTTCTAACATTTATTTTTATTAATGCTTCTTCCTTTTTATTAAACTTTCTTACTAGTGTTCCTCTGTGTTCCTTTTATCGTTCCATGCCTCACCCGGAAAGTTGCAGGCTTTGGTTTTACCCGTGACTCTCACGGGGAGGGGAACCTTACTTTCGAACAAGGCCTGCCCCTCCCTCTGGCAGACAGGACAGGATGGTGGTTAAGGACCCAGGCTCTGGAGCCAGAGTGACTGGGACAGGATCCTGGCCGTACACTGCATGTTAGCTGTGTGACTTAACCTCCACTTACCCTCTCTGGGCCTCCATTTCTCTCCCATGAAACAGGGGGTGCTAACAGAACATGCCTCAGCGTTATAAGGATTAAAGGAGGCAGGGAAGAAGAGGGCCGAGAGCAGGGAGATGGAGGTGGAGAGAATGAAGACCCCCGACCGACCTGCACGTAGGTGATGGGCTCCAGCTGGGCGGCCCTGAGCTTCCGCAGCTGCTCCTTGTCCTTCCTCAGGTCTGTCTTGCAGCCAATGAGCACCATGGGGGTCCCACGGCAGAAATGTGTGACCTCGGGGAACCACTGTCGAGGGAGAAGGCAGGCATCAAGGCTGAGGCCAGACCCGTGGTCCCCACCCCTGAGGCAGGCTGGCTGGGTCACGGGCCTCACCTTGATGAGGACGTTTTCATAGCTGGTGGGGTTCATGACGTCATAGCAGATGAGCACGAGGTGGGTGTTCTGGTAGGACAGGGGTCGCAGCCGGTCATAATCTTCCTGCCCTGAAACCGGAGGGTAGGTAGGGGTCAGAGAGGCACCACTTCTTTGTCCACCTGATGCCCCTGTCTGGGCTCAGATGGGCAAGGGGTTGATGACTCTGTCGCTAAGGCTTCAGTTTCCTCATCTGTGAAACAGAGGTGGCGACCCCCAGTAGCAAAGATTGCACAAGATGAACCCCATGCAGTGCTCAGAGCTGGGGTGATTTTGGGGTGATAATCTGCAAAAGCTGGAGGAACTTGCTAGCAATTTTGCCCATGACAGTTACCGCCACCTGCCTTGCCCTGGCACTCAGGTTGGAGAGGCAGACTCGGGCCGAGGCCCTCCCCTCCCTGAAGGCTCAGGGGCTGGGCCAGTCCAGGCCAGTGTTGGGGTGCAGGGGTGACCAGCACAGCTCACCACACTCAGGCTCCCGTGGGGAGGCTGAACACCCTTCCCCCAGCGCAGACTGAATCACGGGCCACGGCTGAGTGTGGCTTTGTAATGTCTTTAGTAATTTTTTACATTGACAATTTTAAACTTACAGGAGAATTGCAAAAAGAGTGCTACGAACTCCCTCAGATCCCCGAGTGCTTACACTTTGGCCCACTTGCCCTTTCTATATGTAAACAGTGAGCCACGCGAGAGTAAGGGCAGGCATCCTGCTGCTTCACCCCGGAATAGCGCCCTGCGGATTTTCTAAGGACAAGCATGTTCTGTCACCCAGAGTCCAGGTATCAAACAGGAGCCATCACCACTGACTCTGTTCTCCAGCAAACCCGGCTGAATTCACATCTCGCCGGTGATGTCGTGGAGGAGGTCTGCCCTGGTCTAGAAGCAGGCCCACGGCTATGCCCTGCGCGCAGTCACCATATGCCTTAGTGTTTTTAGAGGCACAAAGGTGACCTCCTTCCGTTACCCGGAACACAGAGGCCCAGCAATCCCCTGCCCCTCCCCCTCCCCCGGGGAGGCACCAGCTTGCCCTCTGGCTCCCTCCCTGCCAACGTTGGCCTTTGCGCTGAATGAGGACAGACCACATCCCGCTCCTGCCCCCCAGCTGCTGCCAGGACACTGCCACCTTCTCCCTTCCCACTGGTTCTCCCTCAGTCCAGGACCCCTGACAGGATGCAGTGAATGGCAGCCACAGCTATGACAGTGGTTGGGCCGGCGGGGGGTGGGGGGTGGGGGCGCCATGCTGCGATTCAGCCAGAGTCCCCCCAACATTCTGGAAGGGGTGAGGGACTGTCAGGGCCCACTGACTCAGATTCTTCTGTCCTTATGAAACAGGAGAAATCCTTGTACAACGGTGGGAAAGTGGCCAGGAGGCTGACCCAGCCCATCTCCAGACTGTATCCTCTCTGAATCTTTGTGCATGTCTTTCTAGACCTGTGCTGTCCGATAGGGGAGCCACTAGCCCCATGTGGCTGTTTAAATTAATTAACATTAAAAATTCAGGTTCTCCATTGCACTAGCTACATTTTTTTTTTAAAATGTTTTATTTATTTATTTCGAGGAGAGAGAGAGAGAGAGAGACAGCATGAGCAGGGGAGGGTCAGAGAGAGAGGGAGTGACAGACTCTGAAACAGGCTCCAGGCTCTGAGCTGGCAGTCAGCACAGAGCCCGACGCGGGGCTCGAACCCACGAACCGCGAGATCATGACCTGAGCGAAAGTCGGACGCTTAACCGACTAAGCCACCCGGGCGCCCCTGCACTAGCTACATTTCAAGTGATTAATTGCAACACAGGGGTAGTGGCTACCGTAACGGGCAGTTCAGATGCAGGACATCTGTCACTGCAGAAAGTTCTATTGGACAGCATGCCACCATCCAAGCCACCGCTGGCCTCCCATGGTCTGCTGCCTCTCAACAATCCATTTCCCACCCAGCAGCTGGGTGAATCTAAAACACAAGTGAAATCCTGCCTCTCTCCATGCCTCTATTGAGGATATCTTCATGAAGATAGGAAAAATATCTTCAGTAGAGTCACCTGCATGGCTTAGTCAGTTAAATGTCTTGGTCTTGGCTTAGGCAATGATTTCACGGTTTGTGAGTTCGAACCCTGAGTCTGCAAGGAGCCTGCTTGGGATTCTTTCTCTCTCTGCACCTCCCCTGCTCACTCTCTCTCTCTCAAAATGGATAAATAAAAAAATATATATACCTTTGATAGCTCTCTATTGCCCTTTGTACTAAATCCAAACATCTCCCAGGGGTCTATGTGACCTGCACCCATGGACCCTGACCTTATCTCTCCCTCTCCCCTCATTCCCGCCCCCCACCCACTGTTTCTCAAACCCACCAAGCTCTCATGCCTCAGAGCCTTTGTATTGCTGTCTCCCCACACCTGGAATGGTTTTTAATTTTTTTTTCATATTCTTAGCATTATTTAAAAATATTCAGACTGATAGTCCACATTATTCCCTTTTCTAGGATAATCATCTTCTATTTCTACTTCACAATAATACCACCTTGTGCTTTGTAGACTTTTTATTTATTACTTTCTGATGTATATTTTTGAGAGAGTGCAAGCGGGGGAGGAGCAGAGAGAGGGGCAGAGAGGATCCTAAACGGGCTCTATGCTGACAGCAGTGAGCCCGACGTGGGGCTCGGACTCATGAACCACAAGATCATGACCTGAGCCAAAGTTGGACACTAAACTGACTGAGCCACCCAGGTGCCCCACTTTCTAAAAAAATGGTTTTTTATTTATTTTGAGAGACAGTGCAGGAGAGGGGCAGAGAGAGGGAGAGAGAGAGAGAATCCCAAGGAGGCTCTGCACTGTCACCGCTCAACTTCACAAATCGTGAGGTCATGACCTGAGCTGAAATCAAGATTCGGATGCTTAACACACTGAGCCACCCAGACACCCTGCTTTATACACTTCTTAGAGGGCTTTTGCCTACAGACAGTTAAGAATCCCACAGCCACCACCTGATGTGCTAGTCAGGAAGTTGAGAATACTCCCATGTACACAGGAACTTAGCTTCAGAGAAGTGACATGCCTGAGGTCTTCAGTGACCCAGCCAGGACTCAACCCCAGTTCATCAGGTTCTGAGTCAAGCATTCCTCCTGCTGATACACAGCAAGGCTCTGTTCTGCTTTGCATTGTACAAAAAGTAGGTTCTGGTCCTCCATGATTTAATGATGCAGTTCCTAATTCTGGCATAACACACATGTCCAGTCCCTGTTAGAAATACGGCAAGGACAGCTCAGTCGGTTAAGCGTCCAACTTCGGCTCAGGTCATGATCTCACGGTTCCTGAGTTCAAGCCCCGCGTCGGGCTCTCTGCTGACAGCTCGGAGCCTGGAGCCTGCTTTGGATTCTGTGTCTCCCTCTCTCCCTGCCCCTCCCCTGCTCGTGCTGTGTCTCTCAAAAACAAACATTAAAAAAAAAAAAAAATACCGCAGGAGTAGGCAAGTAGTTGTAAAACAGGCGCCCTCTACTCCGACGGCTTCCCTCATCCTGACTGGCTGGCTCCTCAGATGCCGCCCTCGTCTCTCCCCTCACAGTCTGCCCCCACCCCGGCTGTCCACAATCCGTGCTCAGACACTAGTTTACTGCCTGTCTCCCAAGGACTGTAAGCACCCTGAGGGCAGGGACCATGTCTGTCCCCAAAAATAACCCCTGGTGCCCAGCAGGTGTCTAGTCAAGCCTGGCTGGTGGTGGTTCCGCGCTGTTCGGCTCTTGTCAGATGCAGCAGAGGCCAGGCCTGGGTGCCAGGGGGTTAGCGATTACAGCCTGTGAGGATCTCAGCAGAGCTGATGAGGGCACAAGTCGGCCGCAGTGGGTTGAAGGAGGAAGTCAGACCTAGCTGCTCGCCTTCGGGGGCCTCTGCCCTTGCTGTTCCCTCTTCTGGAAGGTTCTTCCCCAGGTAGCAGCAAGGCTTGCTCCCTCCTTTCCTTCAGGTCTCTGCAGAAATGTCACCTCCTCTGGGGCAGCTTTCCTGACTGCTCAGAGACAAAGCCTTCGACCCCGTCTGCCCCACACCCGACCATGGCTTTACTATTCTGAGTATGGATCACTACCTGACGTTGGGCTTTGGTTTGGCTTTGTCTCCCCCCATGAACACAGCTGCCCCTGAGGACAGGGGCCATCTCTGTGCAGCTGTCATGACCCCTGGGACACAGGCACACACAATGAACATTTGGTGAATGAACTCACCAACGAGCGGGGGAGTAGGCGGAATGACAACCTTTCCGGCTGTCAGCAAGGGCACTTCACCTGGATCACCTGTGTTAATTTAAGCAGCCACCCAGAGAGGTAAGCTGCGTGGAGAAAGTTCTTCCTGTTAGGAGTCCATGTGGCTGAGGGGGGCCTTTTTCAAGGTCATAGGTTCCCTGGGAGCTGGAGCGCCAACTCAGTCCCTAACTCCAAGGTCAGCTGCCCGCCACACCACTCGAAAATGGCCAAAAACTCTCTCAGGAAGCCTTCCCCAGAGATCCCCAATCGGCAGTTAACCTCTGGACCTTGTCTCCTCACAGGTGGTTTCCTCACCAGTGAAACACACGCGTCGGCAGTGCTCATTATGCTCACTCGTGGCTTTATTTGAAGCCCGTTGCCTGCACTACCTCATTACGATGCTAACAAGGTAGGGCTGCAGTTATCCCTATTTCAGAGATGCAGAAAGTGAAGCACCGAGAAGTGAAGCGAGTTGCCTTAAGTCACACAGCTAAGGGGATGCTCTGTAAAAGAGGACCATAGGTGAGGCTACTGGGGGTGCCTCTCTCGGTCCACTTGAGAGGGTAGGGAGCCATCTCCTCACCCTACAAGCCCCAGGCCTGGCCAAATAAGGCAAAGACTGCCAACACAGGTATCTCAAGAGGAGCTCTGGGAGGGGATGGGCAGCCAAACCAGATTCCAGCTCCCTCCTCCGGGTTGCCTTCCTGGCTTGACGGTCCCTGGCTCAACTTTCCCAAGATTCAGTGTGGACCTTCACACCTCCACGTGGGGACCAGGCCTGCAAATGATGGACTCCCAGGTGCTGTTGGCCTCATGTCCCCTCGGGAGGTGTGGAGTGTTCTAGACACCTCTCCTCTATGAGTCAGGAGAGCCAGGCTACACTCAGACTCTTGTTCCGTGACCTGGTTGTCTTCCCTCTCCGGGCCTCGGTTTCCTTATCTGTTAAAGGGGTTGATAACCCTGCCCCTGATACTGGAAGGAAAGGACTTACAGACTAAGCAATGCTGGACAGAGGTGAAGGACTGTTACTGTGGTTACTCTTGAACCAGAAACTTCCAGGGGCTGGAGGCCTGGGCGAGGGGTTCTAATCCTGGATCTTTGGACCCACACGTTTTAGGGGGCCCCCCAGCCACAAGATGATACTATAACCCTCCCCATTTACTCACACTGATGCCAGGGCTGAAAGGGGCCAAGTCACCTGTCCAGAGGCACAGCAGGCTCCCACTCTGGCCTCTGTAGATGGGCCTGCACAGAGTTACGTGCAAAAGAACGCATTTGTTTCTGGCGAGGAAAGGTCTTCTGGGCCACAGCTCCCCTTGAAGTGGCCCATCTTCCTGAAGCTGGCAGTGCTGTGGGGTGGGGAGGAAGTGAGGCTCTCGCCTAGCATGAGGGTATTTCCTTTGTGGGAAAGAGCTTTGCTGTGTCAGTCATCTCTTCCAGGGGCAGGGATTTCTAAGGCCTAGAGCCCAGTTGAGGAGAGAGGGTGTCCCTGGGCCACAGTGGTCCCCAGATCTGCTGGACATACACAGAACAGGTGGCTCCGGGCTCCAGCCAGGGCGTTGGTGAGAAGAGGGGCGAAGGCAGCGTGAGAAGGGGAAGCTGCAGAAGAGGAACCCACTTGTTGCTACTGGGGCCCGCCCACCTGCGCTTCCTCCCCAGAGGCAGGAGGAGCCGGGGCTGGGGCAGCCCCCGCCTGGAGCGGAGGCCACGTTCTGACTGGCCCTTGGCTTCGGCTCCTCAAGCCTCCAGCGCTCCTGGCCCCTAGGTACCCTCTCATCCCTGATCCCATCTCAGCAACTCCTTCGCTCCCAACTTTTCCTATTGTTGCCATCTCAGGTTGGGAAGGGGACAGTCCCCAGCTTCCTGGGCAACCCCCATGACACCCCCACCCCGGGCCGCACCCCAAGGCCCAGATAGCTCCATCTCTACTTGGTGTCTTAACATCCCACCTTGTCCCCACCTCCCCTCTGCCCAGGAAACTTCAGACCTCACCACAGCTTCCTGCCTCTGACAGTGTCGGGGCGGGGCGGCAGGGGAGCCCGCCTCCCCTTCACCTGTCAGCACTAAGAGCTCCGCCACCCCTCCAACCACCCTCCCACCACTGCGGTGTCTGTAGCTGCTTCCGCAGGATGGAGACGCACAGCCAGACTGGTCTCCCACGCAGACCCCTGTGGCCAAGGCCCTGGGTGTGGAGAAATGCAGCCTCTCAGGGACCACCCCCGGCCCACAGCTCTGGTCACCAGTGGTTGGTTGGAAAGATACTACTCTGCACTCCCCTCCCCCACACCATAGGGTTTAGCTCATCAGGTTCCAGAACCTTCTACAACAGCTTTTACTAGACTCATCTCCAGTTCAGCCATTCCCTTCACCCTCTTAGTCTCTACCTTTCTCTGGTTGGTCATGTGGCCATCCTTTTCTGCCGCTTATTTTTGGTATCCATCTACCCTACAGGTGGAGAAGATCTCACTGCCTTTATCACAGAGGACCTTTTCCAAGGGTGTCTCTGAATCCAGATTTATTCTTTTTCTTTTTCCTTTAATGCTTATTTTTGAGAGAGAGAGAGAGAGAGAGACAGAGCATGAGCATGAGCAGGGGAGGGGCAGAGAGAGAGGGAGACACAGAATCCATAGCAGGCTCCAGGCTCTAAGCTGTCAGCACAAGAGCCAGACACATGGGGCTCAAACTCACGGACTGTGAGATCATGACTTGGGCCAAAGCTGGACGCTTAACCAACTGAGCCACCCAGGCGTCGCTCAGATTTATTCTCCATTCATTCCCTAAGCGCCATGCTGGGCACTTGGCATGTGGAAGAGGAATGACCCAGTCTCTCCTCCATGTTCCTTGCGACAGGGCTTCCTGGGTCGCATTGGGACACCCTGGAAGGAGCACCCATGTTTCTTTCTCCCTGCGTATTCCTCCTTGGGCTGTCCTGCTGACTGGGAAGCCAGTCTACTCCCCCAGGGCTCCACTGAGAGGTTCAAACACCAGCTCTGTTTTTCTGCTGCTTGGAAGAGCCTTGCTGGCAGTGCAGGGTGAGGCCGGCACAGATCTCTGCAGGCCATGGATTCAGAACAGGTTGGGCTTGGGTCTGAGCCTGAATGATGTGTGTGTGTGGGGGGGTGGTGCTTAAAAAGTCACAACACTTAGCGAGCCCTTCCCAAGAGCCGGCACCTGTGCTGTACATCACACGGATCTAATTTACTCCTCAAGACTTTTTTACCCTGATTACAGATGAGGAACCTGAGGTCCAGGTGTCTCCGATGACACACGGCCAAGGAGCCAGCATCAACAAAACCCAGGTCTGATTCCAAAGCATGTGGCAGTTAGATCGTCATTGCCCTGGTGGCTGTGTGCCTCTGATGACTGGGCCTGGAGCCCCTCCATCCCTCCCACAGCACCTGTTAGTGCAAACCCAGAAACTTTCCGGAACCTCCACACCACAATCTGTCCTGACACGTTCTTTGGGCACCTTTCTCTGGCGAGGCCACAGCCACCTGAAGTGGTCCCTGTGTTGGGTCTGATGGAGGCATCTATGAACAGTGAACCCCAGGGATCTGATGGGAGGAGCCCTGAGGCCAGAGGAAGGAGGAGTGACAACTCCCCGCTCTGACTCTCCCTGCTGCACCAGCACCCCACCCACAAAGTGGGGCTAATGGACCTTCCCCTGCCTGGGTCCCCAACAGGAAGCATGTGAAACTGAAAGTGTCCCAGACACACCATGATTTTTACTGCTCCTAGAGCTGTGCCCCTGGGAATTCCTCAGCAACCTTTCTCAGTTCACAGGGCTGGAAGCATGGCCCTGTCCTTGGGGTAGTCCTTTGGGGTCCTCATCCAACAAGATGGGTGTCTTTAGAAGCCGCTACAGGCAGGAGCCACCATACAGTAAAGGCTGATGAAGTCAGGAACGAAGGAGGGGTCTGGGGACCAGACAATCTCTTTTCTGATTCTCTCCAGGGTGGACTGAGAGATACCACTGGCAGGCTTGGGGTGGGGCATGTCTGGGTTTGGGCTCCATCCCAGGCCCGTGGAGACTTCCCCTTACACGTACAAGGCTTGGCTGGTAGGGAAAAGGGCACCTGATGACATGGTTCCACACAGATCACTAAACACTGAGTCACAGAGGTTGGGTGAGGTCCTATCTGGGGATCCTGACCTTTGTCCCTCAATGTTGGCTCAGCCCAGAGGGGGATTGAAGGCAGACCCCCCCCCACCCCCACCCCGCAGCCCTAAACAACAGGGACTCTGATAACTGGATTCGCATAAATCCACTTGCTCTAGGAGCTGCAGGTGGCACGGAGAGAGAACCTTCTTTTGGACTTATGTTCCTGAGCACTCTGTTCCTTCCTCAGTGCTTGGTTTGTTCCCAGGGAACCAGGAAGATACAGAAAACTGTAGTCACAAAATCCCAGAACCACAAGCTCAGAGCCGCAGACAGAACTGTGTATGGTAGCCTATGGAATCCCAGAAGCGTGGAGCTCAGATATAACATCCACAGGACCCTGGAGCCTCAAGACTGTCAACCAAAGAATCCTCTGATCTGTAGCCCAGAATATTACAGAACCGTAGGACCCAGAAATTCAGCCCACAGAATCCCAGCATCAGTGGACTCAAACCTGCAGCCCACAGAATCCTAAAGAGATCACAGCATGCAGCGCATGAAATCGTGGAACCATGGGGTGCAGAAGGGATGCCCACGGTTTTCTAGAACCAGGGAGAGGAACGAAGCCGTGGGTTCTCAGCATATCAGCGCTAGGAGGGTGGCCGAGGAGCTCATGCCAGTCAAAGACGCTCCTTTCAAAGGGGCGACTGAGTCCCTCTGAGCCCAGGGCGACCCTGCCAGCGCCTCTCCGCGGCCTTCAGGAGTGACGGGATGTCAAGGCCCCACGGAGGCTGGTGGTGGTGGGGATCCCCGGAGGGGGATCCCCGGGCGGGGGAAGCCCTCCAGACACCCGGGACCCTCGGCGCGCAGGCGCACTCACCAGCGGTATCGTATAGGTTCAGGGTCACCTCCTTGCTGCCCACAGTCACGCTGGCCGTGTACTTCTCGAACACGGATGGGGCGTAGTGCTGTCGGAGAAGGGGTCGGGCTGGTTCTTAAGGGGTGCGACGGAGGCCCAGGGTCCAGCTGCACTGCTCCCCACTGTCACCCCATCTAGCTCAGCTCCCTTCACCCAGATGGGCTCTGGAATTCCCGAGGAGGCGCCCCGGGGTGGCGGCTGCCTCTGCGCGCCGGACGCCCGGGAGCCAGGGTCCAGGCTGAAGGCCGTCTGTCGCCCCCGATGGTCCCAAGCCCATTTCCCCCGTAGCCTAGCCCCCACCACCCCCTCCCGGTGGGCCTCACCTCAGGGAAAGAGCCCTGGCTGTACACCATGAGCAGTGATGTCTTGCCGCAGCCGCCGTCACCCACGATCACGATCTTCAGCTCCTTTCTGCCCGGGTCCGGGCCCGGGGCCCTGGGGGCTTCCATAGCCGGGAACCGGCGGCACTGGCAACCGCGCGCGGGACAGACCGCTGGGGCTGAGAGATCGGGGGCGGGGGCGGGGGCGGGGGCGGGGGCGGGGGCGGGGCGGGACCCAGGGGCGGAGCTAGAGAAGCCCCTCCCACTACGTGCAGGCATCGCCTCCGCCAGGCAGCCACCCGGGCCCACCTCCCAACCTCAGTTTTCCTTCCCGTTAGAGTCCTAGCCCGGTGCGTTCACCTGTCATTCCCAGGGAAACTGAGGCAACTGAGAAACAGGTGCCCAGCCCGAAGCGCGGCTCCCACTCGCTCCTCTGCACGTCACGGCGCGCCCCCCACCGGCGAGATTCAATGGTTTCCGCCTTACCTCGCCAGGCACCCCTGATTGGCAGGCTCCGCCTTCTGGCAGGGACCCTCTGATTGGCCGGCTCGGCCTCCCCTGTCTGACAGGGACTCTTTGATTGGCGGACCGTTGCCCCAGCACCAGAGTTCGCGGAGCCATGGTCTCCAGCTCTGGGAAAAGCCCCCTCGCTTTGCCCCGCCCCAGCTGTATAACCTGGGCCAAGTCGGCTTCTGACCTCAGTTTCCCCACAAGGTAGGTTGGTCGAGTCAGGGAGGATGCTGGCACGGGGTGTGTGTTTGCCCGCCTAACCCAGCCCTACGGGAGCCAGTGTGGGTGCGGGTTGGGGGTGGGGAAGAGCAGTTCCCCTCACCTACCCCTCCCACCTCCCTAAGAGCGCAAGGTGGACGTCTGGCGCCCTCTGGCGGGCAGTCGTCTTGGAGAGCTGGCGAAGGACTCCCGGAACAATGCCTTTTGGGGGTTGGCCCCAAACCACGCGGGCGGAAGCCTCTTTCTAGCAGGGGCCAGAGGCGTGAACCGAGGAAGACACCGTTGAGGAAGGGATGGGGAAGGCTAGGGCAGATCTAGTAGAAGTTGGGCCCTCTGATAACTCCCACCCCACCCTGAAATTAGATTAAGCGCTCTCCAGCCATTAGCCACATTATCTTCATCCCAGGCAGTCTCACCGATCCTCCCACGCCCCTTGATCAAAACAGCTTAGTGAGCACTATGTGCAGGATAATACTGGAGCTGCTGGCTGAGACCACCTGTCCCCCATCCCTTCCTTCCCTGCAACAGTCCTTTGCACAAGCCAGGCTAGTGGTCAGGCGAGGCAGGAGACCCCTGGAGGCCGTGTGTGGCAGGCAGGCATTGAGGCATGGCTAAGTAGGGAGAGGGGCCCAAACAGCTGGGGTGAAATCTCTGGTAGGTTCCTCAGAGACGGCTAGGCAGGCTCAGGATCTTCTTGCCCCGCCCCACCCCACCCCGCCACCTGGATGATTCTGAATTTCTAGGTTCTCAGTAAAGAGCAGGTAAATTTTACTTCGGGGAGGAAATTGCCAACCTGGCAATTTCATAAGTGCCCCGTCCGTTCTCAGCGGATGCAAGGCAGGTCTGACCACCAGAGGGCAGCAACGACCGCTCGTGGAAGCTTACAAAAAAGAGCCCAGAGCTGGAAAAAGGAGGTAAGGCCCCCCCAGTTCCAGGCTGTTAGGTGAAAAGTCCTAAGCCGTCAGCCGGTCAGAGAGCCGCCTGCTAGGTCAAGCACCCCCACACAAATTCACAGCAACTCATTCGTTCCTTTATTACCACACAAGTTTATTATTGAGAGGCAACTGTGTTCCTGCCTGCAGGGAGCTCGGCCTTGGGGGAGCAGTCTCTTAAAAGCGTTTGGGAGCTGTGAACGCTTTAGAGACCGAACCCTGTAGGGTTCAGGGAAGGTTGAGCCAAGACTGGGCAGTGTTGAGGGCGGTCCAATGGGAGCAGAACAAACGCACGGTGGCCGGGAAACCCCATCAGATTCCACAGTGCCTGGGGAGCGAGGAGGGAGGCCAGACATGGTTGTCAAGGTAACTGGGGTTAGATCATCGAGGGCCTTGCTGCCAGGCTCAAGAGCGGGTGTCAGACAGGGGACTCCTGAACAGAACAGGAGCCCAGCCAAAGCCAGGCCCTCAAGCTCTCTCTGGTGACCAGGGAGGAGCTGGGATTGGCTGGTGAGGATCGGCTGGGGGTCATCTTCTCACAGTTGCAGCTTGAGGCTGGCAGGGGCCTTGGAGTGAGCGGAAGACCACTTACCTTTGCAGCCAACCCTGGACCTGACCCTAAATCAGGGCCTCTGAGCTAGGGGAGGTACAGAAGGGAAAGAGAGGGGCTGGGGGGAGAATTCACTTAGGAGGGTCATCCCCCTCTGAGCAAACAGTCACTTGGGAGTTCATCACACATGCTGACTTTCCTCAAAATCCTTGGACCTGGGTTTCTATTTTCTTCACCCGAGAAAGAGGGCTACGATCCCAACTTAAGGCAGAACGAATGGCTTCCACAACACGGAGGGGGAGGGGGAGAGCGAGGCTTCCCAGCCCTGCCGGCAGCAAGGGACAGCAGCTGACGCAGGCCCAGCCGGCCTGCCCACCCCCCGCCTGGCCGAGGGGCTGGCAGCACCCCAGCCCCACCCGGCCTGGAGTGTGTTTGATTTGGACCCAGCTCCAGTGGTGGTGAAGGGACTGGATCTGTACCTAAAAATACCCAGGAGCCAGGCCAGCTGCTGAGAGCTTCCTCAGAGGCAGCTGGGCCGGGCCTTGGCCAGTTAAGCCGGGTGCCCACATGCAAGGGGAGCCCTGCTCCCTTACCTGTGAGGTGTTCTGAGGGCCCGAGTCATTCATCTTCTAGTCACCAGGAATTCCTGGGGAGGTTTAGGTGAGCAAGAAAGATTCTTTAAGCTGGTTCTTGCCATAGAGCTGACGGACACGGAACAGACGCTAGGGAGCGAGCCAGCGGAGCTCAGGAGAGAAGGGCCAGGTCCACTGGTCTTGCCAGGGTCAAGCCGGGCCAGCACAGCTTAGAATGGGGAGGTTACTGACACCTCTTACAGACTCCCCTCTCCTGGTACTTCAGAGCATCCTGAAAGATCACCTCACACCTGAGGAGTCATCCACCCCAGATGAGGCAGAAGAAACTAAGCTATTCTGGGAGGTCCCAGAGATGCGAAGTGGCCAGGGATGGCCTGAGAGTCCAGGACTCTGTCCAGGTCACAGCACTTGGTGGTGCCGGTGGGGAGGTCACGCTGGAACACAAAGCTCCCGGCACAACGCCAGAATGCGAAACACCTCAGTCATCATCCACCTTCCTCCTTCTGGTTCACATGGGGAGACCTCAGCTCCTAGTGGGGCGGGGACTTGCTGAGGTCACTGGCCAGTTGGAGACAGTGCTGGATCCAGGCAGCCTCCAAGATGGCGGGGTGCCTCTTTCCACAGTCCAGGTAGAGGGAGTCTCCACCCAGAGGGTCCAAAAGGTCGTATTCCAGGCTGGGGCTCCGGTGGATGGGCCGGAAGAGGCGGGACCCTGGTGTCCAGTAGCAAGGCTGGTCCAGCCACCTCCCAGCCTCGGGCCGCCTTTCCGCTGGCGTGGCCGTCTCCAGGCTGGCCCCACCGGATTGGCGCCAGGAGCAGCCCCGCCCTGAGCTCGCCGGGTGACCGGGGGGCGGGGCCAACCTCTAAGCTGGGAGGAACCACAGCCAGAGGACAGACAGGCTGCTCTGCCTCTCCCTGCCCCCAGGAGGTGACAGGGGTGGAGGATAGGGGGGCAAAGATAGGAGAACAAAGAAAGTAGAAAGAAGGAAAGAAGAAATGGGAGTTAGGGAGGGGAGATGACCCTTACAGGTCACGGGACACCTCTCCCTCCGGAGAATCACACCCAGACCACAGTTTAGCACCTAATTGCTCCCTAATTGTTCCGAGGGTGGGAGTGGAGGAGCTGGCTTCAGCCCTCCAGGCTGTGGCTGGGAGGGAAACCTTAAGTCAATTACTTAATCATCCGATGCCCTTGGGATGTAAAGACCCCTGCCTCCGGGAGCCCTAAGGACTCTATCCAAAGGGGTGCAGGACACCCTTAGGCAGAGAGCCAGTCACGTGAGGATCAAAGGAGTTGAACGAGCAACTCAATGACAGAACTGAACTTAAAAACCTCGAGTTTGGGGCCAGCGTGCGCAAGAGGCCCATGGGATAAAAAGAACGTGAGCCTCCTCAACTTCTACCAAGTGCTTCCCGCTCTCCCCTCACCCTGGATAGGGGGAAGGGGGTCTGGTGCTAGGTATGGTGGAGTCAAATCTCCTTCCCTCCTGCCAAAGAACAAGACGGACCAAACCCAGCTATCTGAGACTGGAGACCCTCATGGGGCCAAGGGAAGGGGCCCAGAAAGCCAAGAGCGGCACGCTGGTTACTTTCAAGCAGACAGCTTTCCCAGCTTCCTGGCAGTCCTGCCAGCAGACGGCTGGCACGGGAGGGAGCCCGAAATAACCCAGACAGCTGGGGTGGGGGGTGCCATGGACACAGGCGGTGGGCTGGAAGTCAGGACACCTGGAACCCCGTCCTGGCTGCCAGTGGTGGCCTCGTGACCTTGGGTGAGTCACTTCTACTCTCTGGGTTTTGGGGGAGTGACCGTAAATCATGACCCGACCGTTGAAGAACCCGTGAAGCTGGGGGCAGGCCACCGCTCGGACTCAAACCACACGGAGGAAAAATGGTGCTGGCTCCCTGCCTACGGAAAGCCAGTCTTCCCCTTGGCCCTGAGGCAGTGCCACGTGCTTCAGGGGTGGGTTGGTGGGGGAGGAGCTCACAGCCGGCCCAGCCCCCACTCCCTGCAGCCACAGGGGAATGGAGATCAGCTAGTGTGAAGTCAGAGCGTGAGGCCAAGCCCCCTTAATCACACTTAATTCCCCCCACTCCTGTTTCCTGCAGGCTTCATTATCATTTCACACAGGAGACTCGCCCAAGGTCACCAGCACAGCTGCCTGACTTAGAGCCTCCCTTGATTGAGCGCCAAGATCCTCTCAAAATCTCCAGGTCAAGCCCTAACCACTCCCCTAGACCTCAGTTTAGCCTTACAGTGAGGGGTAGGAGAAGAGTGGGCAGGGCCGACCCCTAGGAAGCCAAACCTCAGCCCAGATGGGAGGGGGGGAGGTGCAGATCAGTGGCACCTGGGACCCAAATGGTTCATCAAAGTAATCACTAACTAGAGACCGCCTGGGGGAGGGGTCAGAGATCAAGGGCCACACCATCCCCAGCTGGGGCGCTTCCTGGAGACAGCGGGGAAACTAGGAGCCCAGCATCTTGGGTTAGGAGAGTAAGGAGAGTTGCCATTATTATACGAAGCTAACGCCTGTTTCAAGCGCACTAGCCCACGTCCTCTTCACAACGCCCCCAGGTGTTACCCAGCCCAAAGGTTCTCAAACGTGTCCCCAGATTGCAGCATCGGCGCTACCTGGGAGCTTGTTAGAAATGCAAGTTCTCAGGCCCCACCTACCGAATCAGAAACTCGAATCAGAAACTCAAGGACTGGGCCCCAGCAGTTCGTTCTAACGAGCCACCTGTATGACTCGGCCGCGCACTGCAGACGGAGGATCTGTGACCCAGCCCCATTTGTGCAGATGGGGAAACAGGCTCAGAGACTCAGCAGCTCATGCAAAGTCACAGCACGTAAATGGCCAGCCAGGTTTCAAATCCCAGTGGGTCTCATTTTAGAACCGGGACTCTTTTGAGGGGCTGGGGGTGGGGATGCAGAAAACCGTGGGAATTCCCAGGAAGGGGGAGAAGAGTTCAGAAGCCTCTTTCTCTGAGGAAGCTGGCTTAGGTCTCGGATACTTGTGTTCACCTCCGTAGCAGCCAGACATCAGAGGGGAAGAGACCAGCTCACACAGTCACCCCACACGCCCCCACTCAGGCCGGAAGGGAGGGCCAGAGCAGGGCTTGGCTTCCTGGCAGCAGACTACCTTTCAGAAGAGGCATCCATGGCCCTCCCCCACACCCCCACCACAAAACACACAAATGGGAAATACTTGCAAGTTCGGCCTCTCCTATGCTGCTCAACACTGCAGAGAATTGCATGCCCCAAACTCTTGACAACAGAAGCTGACAGGCGGGGATGGATGGACCGAGCAAGCCCAGCAGGCAGCCGATTTCACACACAACAGTCCCACACATCTGTGTGGGGGAGGGGCTGCAGAACCAGCCTAGCGGGTTTGGGGTGCCCGCCCTCTCTGGGCTCCAGGCCCAAGCCCCCAAATCTTCCTCGAAGGCTGGGAAAGGGCTCACACCTACCTTAGAGCATTGTCAGAGTGAAATTAGGCCTGATTCTGCTGTCCAAAGGAGGGTGGTCACTCTGGGGGTACCTGGCCGTCGCCCTTTCTCCAGCCAAGAGCCTGGCGGGGAAAAGTCGGAGAGTTTCTCAGGGAGTTGATAGCCACAAACCGTGCAGGGTCTCCTTGAGGGAAAGGGAGCCTTACAACAGCCCCCCTTTCCCATCTGCCCAGGGGGCCCTCACTCTGGAAACGATGGGGGTGAGGGGCGGCTGCGTCACGAAGGTTCAGCCCGGGCGACTAGCAGCAGGAGGCGACTCATCTGCATTTCCAAAGGCCCGCCCCGTCCACGTCCCCTCCCCAAGAACGGTCCGGGGACGCAAGGGCTTACCCTGGAGCCCTCCGCCTCGGGGGATCCCGGGGAAGGCCCGCTCGGCTTTCCCAGGCCTCGATCCTCCCCGCCCCGGCCTCTAGGGCTCAGGGTTGGAGGGTGTGCCCAGTAGGACCAGATCAGGGCGTCGGGGGCTTTCGTGACGGCCTCAAGCCCAAAGTGGGGACAAAGGCGGGGGGAGGGGGCGCTGCCCCTCAGGCTCGGTTGTTAAGGGCATTGAGGGTGAGACGTGGGCACCGAGGCCCGGGTAGGCAGTGCGGGTCGGTCTAGGGTCAGGGCCGGGCAGCGAGGGAGGCTCCCGCCGCCTCCGGAGGCGCCGGTCGGAGTCAGGGGGGCCTCGAGGCCGCGACACTCCCCGTGGCCCTTTGCTACTGGCTCCCGCTCCCGCGTGCCCCCCCCACCCCCCCGAGTCGGGCGTGGGGTCCCGGGCGGCTGCGGAGCCCGCGCCCGCGTTCGAGGCCTCCGCCGGCCAGGGGCGTCCACGCGGGCGGCGGCGCGCCGGCCTCCCCTCCCCCCCCCGCCCGGCCCCGCCGCCTCCTTCCCTCCTCCCGCCTGGCGCGCAGCAGCCGCCACCGCCCGAGCCGCGGGCGGCGCGCGAAATGGCGCCCGTCTGGCCGCCTCGCCCGGCGGAGGCGAGAGCGGCAGCCGCGGCGCGCGACGCCCCCCCCACCCCGGGTCCGCGCGGCAGTCTCCGCGACCACCCTCCGGCGTGGGGCGCTGTCCCCTGGCGGGCTCTCGGGCCCCGTAAGGCGAGGGGCCGCCGTCACCCCGGGCCCCCAACGACACCCGGGGAAGGAGGGAGGAAGGAGAACGACGGCCGCCATTAGGCACCCGCAGCCCGGCCCGCCCCGCCCGCCCATCCCGGGCCCGGGCCGGGACCTGGGCCCCGGGCCCCGGCCGGCGGCTCTGCTGAACCTGAAAATAAAACTCGTGTTTGGGAGGGAGGAGCGAGCGCGGCCGGGAGAACAGGCAGCGCTCGGTGGCAGGCGGGAGAGATGCTGCGTCATGGTGCCAACATGGACGCCGGCCTTTTGTCCTTTTTTTTGCTTAGGAAGCGCAGGCACGCCCCGGAGCCCCGAAAAGCCGGCTTCAGAGTGCGAGCCCGACAATCGAGCGAGAGAGGCCCTAGGCTGAGCGGGCAGCTTTCCTTGTCTTTTGAGCACCCCCATCTCCCCCCAATACTTCAATTTTCTCCATCCCAGCAAGGCTCAGACCTAGAAAAGCGAGGCGGATGAGCGCAGGCGTCTCCATGGATGCCCCAGCTCGCTGGGAAGAGCCTCCCCACGCCTCCCGGGGCAGAAGGGGCAAAATTTGACTCTGAGGACCCCCTCCTCGACCCCCCCACCCCCACCCGGCTGCCAAACATAAAGCTCCAGAAACCTCCTTCTCCCCACAGCTCCCAAACATCTGCAGCCCTTGGCCTGCTCGAAAAAAGATTTCCTCGAAGGGGGCAAAAGGCACTTTTTTTTTTTTTTTTTTTTTTAACTTACCCGCTCAGCCCGGTGCCATGGAGTCTGGAAGATCAAGCTGGGCGGAGGTTTTGGACGTGTTATGTAAAAAATATCTTTTGGGGGGGATTGTTTAGTTAGGGTTATTGGGGGAACCGTGGTGTCTGTCTTGTTGTTACCTTTTTGTAAGTTACACTCTCATGGCATTTTCTGCTCCTTCCACTTCTGCAAACTTTCCAGGGTTGGGTTGGCAAAAGGCGGCTTCGCTGAGGACTGTTTACTGCTCTGGATATAGCAATGGTGTGATCGTCATTAAGAGACAAAAGGCGAAAATACACAGTCAAATCAAACAAAAGGCAAAAGACGCACGGCCATCCCAACCACCATAGAAAATACCCGCGAGTTAACGTTGGTGTTTGGCTCGAACCAGCTAGGACTTGTTTTCCAGTTTTAATCTAGTTTCCTGTGACGGCTTTAGACTCAGTACACAAAGAGAAGGTCTTCCTTTCCCTCACCCACCCCCCCAGCAAGACGAGAAAAACAGAGCTGTTTTTCTTCAAATAGATCGATTTTCAAAGAACGTGTACATGTTACTGGGAAGAAAGCTGACTAGCATTTATTGCTTTAAACATTTTCAAAAGCTTAAAGCTAAAAAACCTCAGCTTTATAAAAGCAAAATCGTCTAAAAGCATTTTAACTGGCTTATATTAGACAAGAGCGACAAAGACATACATGCAGATGAAGGTTCAGAAAATTAAGGACATCTCAGCAACATTAACATGAAAACTGCACTGCGTAAGGACAGAATGGATTGGGTACTTACAATGTAAAAGGTTTTTAAAAACTTAAAAGTAACAACTGCTTACAATTTTTTGTTGCTGCCATTTCGCTAATCCTAAAACTATACATTTAAAACATTACCTTGTTAAAAAGAGAGCAGAAGGAGTTAATAAGATGGCCAGGTTTAAGTGTTTAATAGAGGAAACTATATATATTTAAAAATTTATTGTTCAGTCAAGAGAATACAGATTAAGACAGCTCCAAGCTCCCCCCACCCACCCAAGAAAAAAAGGAAAAAAAATTAAATATGTCATTTACTTAGGTTTTTTGGAATTCAAAATTGTTAACTGCTGACATTAATGGTGTGCTATGACCTAGTTATACAAGACAAAGATGGATTCCAAGTCATAAGGAAAAATCCAGATCTTTTTAAAAAGTCTTCTCCATTCTTCCAACTGTGAGTCCTTTAGCCTGTTGACAAATGTTAAACACAACACTGAGGCGTCCTGAACTGGATGGTGGAGTCAAAGGAAAAACATTCCCCATTTGCAACAAAGGAAAAACCCACTTGGCCATTTAATTCCATTGCAGAAAAATGGCTCCCCTCATCTGTTGGCCTCTCCTTGGTGTCTGATGAACGATGTTTTGAGATCAGCGTCTAATAACTCAAGCCCTATAGAAGCCGCACGCTGATTGGCTGCCGCGCCCTGCCGCCCTGCTCCAGCCAATTACCTACCCACGGCCAAATTACAAACCCCGAAAAGAGCCCCAATATGAAATACACCACCACGAAGCCCCAGCAAGGCGGCTCCTTCGCCTCGGCCGCCCGAGAGGACAGGCAGAGGGGGCTGCAAACGCGTCCTCGCGAAGCCCGGGAGCCTCGGAGTTGAACTCACAAAATGGAAGCCGCGCGCTGATTGGCCGCCGCCACTCCCGGACCTTTAATAAAGAAAGGGGAAGGAAAAGATAAATGCAAAAAAGGGGGACTCTCTCCTCCGTTGGTGGCTGGAGGAAGAAGGGGGGGGGGAGAAGGAGAGAAGCATGTGTTTAGGACAATTACAGGGCTCTCGTCTCCAAAAATAAAAACAGCAAAAAGCTTCTATCACCCAGGTCCAGGCGAAGGCTACATCCTCCCAGGAATGTGAATGCTAATTTGGTTAAAATCCTGGTTTCCCCTCCTTAGCTCAGCACCACGGGGGAGGGGGGGTCTCGAGGCAGAGGAGGAAGCCGGAGCGAAGATACCTCGATTGCAACTCGTCTTGAGTCGTCTTGCCTCCCCCCCAACGGTTCCCAGCGTCTAAATACACAATCACACACACACACGCCCCTCAAAATCCCAGCCCTTTCCCCCGAGCCCCCACGAGCCCACCTCCGGTCTTGGCAGTTTGGAAACAGTTTTGGAGGCCCCAGGCGCACGCCGCGGTGGCCGCGGCTCGAAGGGTAGCCCCAGCCGCGGGAGGTAGAGCCCGGGGAGACCCCCCCTCCCCCGCCAGCCAAGCCCCCCACCTAAGTCCCAGCAGAATAAATAAATTAAAAGGCCTTCCCCCGGGGAGGGGGGAGGCAGTGTGGGAGCGCGCGAGTGAGGGGTGGGGGGCCGCTGGGGCCCGGGGCTTTGGCGGCGCAGCTGCCGCCGCCGGGAGAGTGCCTGGGGAAGCGGCGAGGAAGGAGAGGGGAGGAGGAAGAGGAGGAGGAGGAGGAAGAGGAGGAGGGTGAGCGCTCGGGTCGGGCTCCTTAGCGGTGTATTGTGGGATGTGCGGCTACTGGGAGCCGAGCCTCCGCCGCCAGCCGCCTCCCGGGCAGCAGCAGCAGCAGCAGCAGCAGCGGCGGCGGCGGCGGCAGCAGCTCCGGGCCCGGCAGCCGCGGCGGCGGCGGCGCCCCCCCCTCCCGGCCCCCCGTCCGGCCGCCCCGGCCTCGGCTCCCGCGGGGGACACCATGTACTGGCTGGCGGCGCAGGGAGGCCGGCGCCCGGCGGGGATGTAAGCGCGGCTCGGGGAGGGAGAGGCCGCGGTCGGCAGCCGGGCGGCCCGAGCCCCCGGCCCCGGCCCCGGCCGAGCGGGCGGGCGGGCGGGCGGGCGGCGCCAGGCCTGCCGCGAGCCCAGCGCGCGAGCCGGGCCGAGCGAGCGAGCGAGCGCCACGCCGGGCGGCGGGGAGGCAGGACGGGCACCATGGGCCGGAGCCCGCGTCCTCCCGGCGCCCCGGGCCCCGCCAGCACGCACCGGGAGCCCCCGGGAGCCCCTCGCTGCCGCCCCGAGCCGGTGGCCGAGCGGGCGGGCGCCTAATTCTCCCGGAAGGGTTATTCTCTCGCTCTATTCTTATTTTGGGGGGAGCCAGCGAGACAGCTCCTTTTGGGGCGCGCTGGTAAGGTGGGAGGGGGTGGGGGCTGAACGATTTGATTCTTTCGCGTGTGTGTAGAAGCGGCCGCCGCCGCCGCCGCCGCCGCGGCGGAGACGACAACAACTTGCTCGTTTTCAGGTTGGGTTAACGGCATGGAGAACAGTCACCCCCCCCACCACCACCACCAGCAGCCCCCGCCGCAGCCCGGCCCTTCGGGCGAGAGGAGGAACCACCATTGGAGAAGTTACAAGTTGATGATTGACCCGGCTCTGAAAAAGGGGCATCATAAACTGTACCGCTACGATGGGCAGCATTTCAGCCTGGCGGTGAGTAGCCGGCGCGCCTCCCCGCCGCCCCCACCCACCCCCAGCCGTGCCAGGGGCGGGGGGAAAGGGGTCCGGGCGGCCCAGGGCTCCCCCCTTCCGACCACCGGGCCAACTGTCAGCCGGGTCCCCAGTCCTGGAGTTTGACAAGTGCCTGGAGAAGGGGGTCTGCCCCTGCCCCTGGGGAGTGGGACCAGCCCTCCCATTCCGCCCCGCCCCCCCATTCCTCCCCACAGATGTCCAGCAACCGCCCGGTGGAAATTGTCGAAGATCCCCGGGTCGTTGGGATCTGGACCAAAAACAAGGAGCTGGAGCTGTCGGTGCCCAAATTCAAGGTAGGACCCCTCCCCCCGACCCCACAGACCCTCCCCGCCTCCCTACTCCCCGAGTTCGAAAATAACGCCAGTTCTGACCTAGCCCAGCCCGATTCTAGTTCCCGCCGTCCGTGGCCAGGGAAGTTTTGGCGGGGAGGGGGAGAAGGCAGGGAGAGGGGTGTCCCCTCTCAGCTACTGTAAACAGAATAACATCCAGTGAAACTGTAATCAAGGATCTGATACAGTGTCTTGCCCGCCCAGCTGGGGGGTCCTGGTCTCCACCTGGCTCCTGCTAGCCTTGGCGGCTTGGCCTGGGGACCCGCCTCCCTTCTCAACCTTGTGGCTTAAGGGGAGACAACTTCATAGACCAAGGGTTCGCCCCTGACCCGGCTGCAGGGAGAGGAGACCAGAATGGGGGGGTGGGGAAAGAGAAACTGTTTCTTTTTCCCCTTTCCTTTCGAACCCAGAGGACTTCCACGTTCCAAACGATTTAATCCTCCGCTTCCCGGGCCCGCCCGCGTGCATTTTTTTTTTCCAAAAAAAAAAAAAATTATTTTTTAACCTTCATTGTTTTCAACGGGCTCGCGAATGGGGAATGCTGTGTTTCCCTTCGTTTTCAATGTTCTCCAAACTCCCTTCCCCCTCCTCCCTGCCAGATCGATGAGTTCTACGTGGGCCCGGTGCCTCCGAAGCAGGTGACATTTGCCAAGCTGAATGATAACATCCGAGAAAACTTCCTGAGGGACATGTGCAAGAAGTATGGGGAGGTGGAGGAGGTGGAGATTTTGTACAACCCTAAGACCAAGAAGCACTTGGGCATTGCCAAGGTGGTCTTTGCCACGGTCAGGGGAGCCAAGGAGGCGGTTCAGCACCTGCATAGCACTTCGGTCATGGGCAATATCATCCACGTGGAGCTGGACACTAAAGGTGAGTGGAGACCCGCTTGGGACAGACTGCAGCAGGGGGGGCAGCTAGACCTGTCACTATGACACCTTTCTCTCCCAGAGCCCCTCTTGCAGTGTTAGGGACCCCCCACAATCTTTTTTTTTTTTTTTTTTGCCCCCTCCTGAGGATAGAGTCACATGAAGCTAAATGTGTTGTCTGTTGCTAGGAGACAGACTATAATTTACCAAATGTGCTGTCCTTGGCTATTGCATGTACCCCTAGGGACCACCCAGAGGCTTTCCCCACCACTGACACCCCTGCGGGCCCCTCTTGGAGCCCTGGTGGCCTGGGTTTAGGCAGTCCCCAGTGTTGCCGTCTGTGTTAGGGGGAGAGGCAGGGTTTGTTTATTTGTGGGGGCTGAGAGGGAGCCACTAGAATGCCTTTAAATACATAAAGAGTAGGTCCTTCAACTAAAAATTTGAGAATCCTCCAAGGATCCAGGGTCCCCTCTCACCCCCATGCTGCCCCTTCCCTCTGGAAGTGGGAACCAATCTGGGCTCAGAGTGTGGTTTCATTGATAATGTTCCGATAGAGCTGGGCGGGCTGCTCTGGGTGCTCAAGGGTTGACACTGTGCCTTCCCTCCTCTCTCTTAAAGAGACAGCAGCACCTTCCGTGCACCGGAATCCCGCTGTGTGCTCACTCTGAGCTCACTGCTGGCAGAGTGGGGCTGGAGAAGCCACCCTTCCTCCCTTATGTTCCTGGGAGGTTTTTCCTGGACTGGATGGAGGGACTTGCAAGACTCTAGGGCATCCCCCAAAGTTTGCCTGTGGCCTCTCTAGGGAAGTTCCCACCCATCTAAAAGAAGGTGCTGGGTGCCTCGAGGACCAACCTCCCCTGTGACTGGGCAGGCAGTGTTGGGTCCCGTGCTTCTTGGGGTCTCCTGGGAGACTCTGCCTGGGAGGGCTTGGTGGCCAGCTTCCAGGAGTTTTGTGAGCACAGTGTTTAGAGGCAAACAGGGCACACCAGACCCAAACAGGAAAATCTAAACCTTTCTGGTTCTTTCAATGGCAGATACACGTTGACTAGGTCTCTAAGACCTCACTGGGGGCTGTGGAGGGGTGCTGGGACTGGGTGGGCGCTGTTACCCCACAGACTCTTGCCAAGCCCGCATCTAGTTCTGAGTTTCCTCAGGGCACAAGCCCGGGTTCCTGTCCCAGCCACAACACCCCTCGCTCTCCCTCTAGTTCCTCTGTCTCTGTCGGGGGAGTACAGACCCTTCTGACCCCGCACATCCCTCCAGGGCTGCAGTCTCCTTTCTCCCGGAGAACGGAATGTGGAACCCTCTTCCCTATCACATGCCCGTTTAAGGAGCAGCCAGCTCTTCCCAAAATTTTATTTCTGAAAAAAGGAAAAAAAAAGAAAAGAAAAGTGGGAGGCCCTCAGAGACTGCCAACTAACTTTGTATTTCAAGAAAGAGACCAGCAAAGTGTAAAGTGTAGCTCAAGGAATGCGCCTCCTTTGCATATGTAAGCAGCTGCTTCAGAGGGCTCTATAAATATCAATAATCTGGGGCCCCCTGGTCCATAGAGGCCTCTCTCTGCTGAGGGCGGAGGGTTACCAGCCAGGACCTAGTGGGACAGAGCTGGGGAGCCCTGCAGCCTGGTCAGAGGAGGAGGCCGGTGGAGTTCACAGTAACGTGGTCCTCGAGTGTGTTTTACAAACTCTTTTGGTCACCTGGCCCCAGATAGTTAGCAGCAAACTGAACTGTCACCTCTGTCACTGGGTCTGTCCACCTGCCACAGGCTTGGGCTGTTAAGTGGGAAAACCTGACTCTCTTTTCAGGTGCCATGGCCCAAGTGACAGGAAGAGGCTCTGTGTTGGGGGTGGTGTTTCTGTTTTGGGGGGAGTCCCGTCCCCACAAAGGATTACATTCTGAATCTTAGGGTCAGAAAAGTCACACAGGTGAGCAGGTTGGTCGAACAGATCGGACTTCCCTGAGAGGCGCAGAGAGGTGGTTACCCAGTCAGGG